CTCTCTCTCTCTCTCTCTCTCTCTCTCTCTCTCTCTCTCTCTCTCTCCATCTCTCCCTCTTTCTCCATCTCTCTCCATCTCTCCCCATCTCTCCCCATCTCTGCCTCTCTTCCTCTCTCTCACACTTCGAAGAGCTACATTTCTGACCCAGGGAGACAAAGCTATGGTTTCTAAATCCCACAACCTGCAACCTTGTTCAAGAGACTTAACACATCAGTCTATGATCAGTATGGACCTTTATAAAGCAGCGGATTAAAGATTAAAGTGAAGAGAGCCAAATCTACCTCCCAAATCTCTACTCACTTTCTAAATGAAAATAAAGCAAGCAAGCATGATTTGTAAAGCCTTGGAGGAAAATCTTCCTAGAGCAGGAGTGCAGTACTGTGTGTAGTATGCCTCAACCCCTAGCCAGTTCAACCAGAATACTAAAGTGTTATGTGTTTCACTGAACCTGGAACCATCCTAAAGGAAGGTCTCTAAAACACATTCCTTCTGATTTTCTGATCTTTCATAGGTAGCCATGTGGGGAGGTGAGAGTGGGTGTGTGGGTGGGGGCACACCCTCATAGAAAGAGGAGGAGGGGGGATGGGATAGGGGGCTTCTGGGGGTGGTGAAATGGGGAAAGGAGACAACATCTGAAATGTGAATAAATAAAATAGCCAATAAAAAAAGAAGAGTTGAATATAGGGCATTTCTTTTTAGAATCTTTCAGTATAAAATAGCTTGTCACATACTAGTGTCTGGCAAAAGAGACTCTGCCTGAGATGGTCTTGTTCCTTTTGTTTTGCAGGCTACTGGCTCTCAAATTGGGATGATGGTCAATTCCTTCTCTAACATCGCTGTGGCCTTGCTCATTGCCTTCCTCTTTAGCTGGAAGCTCAGCCTGGTTATAACACTCTTCTTCCCCTTTTTGGCTTTATCGGGAGCCGTACAGACAAAAATGCTAACGGGATTTGCTTCTCAAGACAAGCAAGCTCTGGAGAAGGCTGGCCAGGTAATCTTATAGACCTAATTTCCCTTCTTACAACTAGGTGGTTGTCAAGTAAACTGTTTAAAATGGGAAGTTCAAAGAGATGCCCATGTCTCTGCCTGGAGACTAAGACAATAAGGTTTTGGTGCGTTAGTTTGATCAGGCAAGAAGAAAGTGTGCTAAACATAGACTTTTATGTGCTTGATTTCCTCTTAGCTATTCATTACACATTTTCTATATTCTCACTTACAGAGGCAGACAGTTCTATTAGAGGAGGTGTTGTTGTTGTTGTTTCTTAGCTAAATGGTTACCCTGAAAACATATACTTTCAACTTTGACACTTCAGCATTTGCTAAGCTAATGGCAAATGTCTTTCTCAAATATAATCATAAGCTACAGTGTAGAATTCAAATCCATTCAGGGTTTATGTGTGCATTTTTTTAAAAAAAATCTATTGAAATTAATATCTGAACACAGGAATGAGTGAGGGGATGATGACACAGACATTTGTCAATTGGAAAAAAAACCACACATGCTGGGCATGGTGGCACAGCCTGCACTGATCTCAGAACTTGGGGCAGAGGCAAAAGATCAAAAGTTCAAGGTGACTCTCTGCTACATAGTGAGTTTAGAGTCCAGCCTGGTTACTTGAGATGCTGTCTCAAGCAACAATAACATACGGGGAGGGAGGAAGAGAGGAAAGGAGGGGGTGAGGGATCAATCAATCATACATAAGATGAATTCTTTTTGTTTTTGCTTTTTGATACTAGAAACTGAACATAGAGTTAACTGAGTCTAGATTTTATTATTGTAAGTACTTTAAAACTGACCTATTTACATTTTTTAAATAAAATATTGAGACAAGCTCTTACCAAGTTACCCAGATGGCACTGAAGGTCAAGCAGTTCTTGAACTTCGGACCCTCCTGCCTTAGTCTCTCAAGCATAGGTGTTCTGGGCTTTTACTGCCTGGCCTGAGTCATACACTCATGCTTCATAAACTTATCCATGAATATGTTTTATCACTCGTCAGACAGAATGTGATGCTGTCCAAGTAGCCAGAGCATTTCAGGTGCCAGTGTAGAAAATAGCATCTTTAATGATGGAGTACCCCAATTCATTAACAATGGACCTTAAACTATGCATCTAAACACATGCTCACCATGTAAACTAAAGATGAATTTATGCTTTTAGTGATATTCAGTTACGTGTTTTTAGAGAAGATGATTTACTGGGCAGCAACTTTCTGGAAAACAGTCTCTAGTACTTCAAAATTATATTAAGTAGGTGTTCTGCTCGAGAAGACATTCAAAGACAGCATTTAGACATTTCAAATGAATTAACAGAACAATTTTAAAACTTGTTTAAGACAAGCATGGGAGGACCTTTGTCTCACACTGTCTCTTCCCTCCAGCAAGTGAAGCAATGAAACCATGCTAGAATTGGGTAGAAGTATAAGTGAGTATACTCTTATACTTTGAATATAAGTGACAGATGGCTCTATGGTCTAGTTGAGTTGACCCCCAGCAACTTCACTATTCTATTTTCTGCCATTTGTAACAAATCTAATATGTGCAGTCACAGCAATGGCATGAAAAGAGATATTCCTACCTTTTGTCACCTCAGACTCTTTCCTTTTTCAGATCACCAGCGAAGCCCTTGGCAATATCCGCACAGTTGCTGGAATTGGAGTGGAGGGAAGATTTATTAAAGCATTTGAGGCTGAACTGGAAACGTCCTACAAGACTGCTACTAGAAAGGCAAACATCTATGGCCTCTGCTATGCCTTTTCCCAGGGGATATCATTTCTTGCAAATTCTGCTGCCTATAGATATGGAGGTTATTTAATAGCCCACGAAGGTCTGAGCTTCAGCTTTGTTTTCAGGTGAGGACTATCCAAATGGTCATCTGATATTGACACTCGGGGGTAGGTTGCCCTGTTCTGTCACTTTCCTTTCTTGCTACCCAGCAAAGTACCCCCTCTTAAAGCAGCTGAGTTTATTCTTTTTCAAGGTTCTACAGGGTGTAAAATAGTTCTTCTGGACTTGGCTTCCTCACAGACTTCTGTGTGTATGTCTCTCTCCAGGGGACTCAGTAGCAAGCAAGCTCATTTCTTTCATGAATGATTTTAGAGTTTCAAATGCAACAAAAGAAACATGTCCTACATTGAGAGCATCTTCAAGTCTCTCCGTATGTCATTTGTTGGGGGTCTCTTTGGCAAAGGAAACTCACACAACTAAGCCTAGGTTTAAGGATCTGCAAAGTGAAATCCACATTTAGATTGGAAGAGTAAAAAGACTGATGATTACAAGCAGATGAATCATAGGATAAACTATTATGATTATATTTACACATGTTAAAGCTGAGACTCTCAAGGACTTGAACAAGATGGACCCAAGTGCTATTGTATTTTAACTCTATTCCTTGCTTACAAAATCAACTGATTTCTAGCCATTTTCTCTGAATAGAGACATGATAGGCCAAGAAGGGTTTTTTCTGTTCTTCATGGCAGGGTAGGCCTACTCCACAGGGGAGGATCTAAGTAAGGGTGCACATGAAGGTGGTAGCTGGTAGTAGTGAAGGCAGAGACAATCTTAAGTTTGGAGGGTATGGAGGCAGGATCTTCTCATCTGATATTTTTCTTCCAGTACGTTCCTGCTAGCCCACTGTCTTAGTGTAGATTTCCATTGCTGTGAAGAGGCACCATGACCAAGGCAACTCTTACAAGGACAACATTTAATTGGGGCTGGCTTACAGGTTCTGAGGTTTAGTCCATTATCATCAAGGCAGGAGCATGGGAGCATTCAGGCAGGCATGGTGCAGGAGGAGCTGAGAGTTCTACATCTTCATCTGAAGGACTCTAGGAGAAGACTGGTTTCCAGGCAGCTAGGAGGAAGGTCTTAAAGCCTGTGCCCACAGTGACACACTTTCTCCACCAAGGCCATACGTATTTCAACAAGGCCACATCTCCCAATAGTGCCACTCCCTTGGCCAAACATATTCAAACCACCACACACACTATATTCACAACACCTCAGAAACTCTCTTTTCTAAACCCTTGCATATGTAAAGCTATAACCTAGACGAGGGACCAGCAACTGTTGGGTTCTTTCTGTCCATTTATATAAGGTGTATAACAAATTATTTGCCAGCATGTGAGAATCAAAAGCCAATAGGAAACTTCAAGTTTCTCCTTTAAGAACTAGAAAGTCATCTCCCACCATTTCCTACCCTACCCCCAACATTTCAGTCTCTGAAAACTTATCCTGGGCTCCTAGGAATGTAGATTTCCAACTCCAACCTTGAAATAAACACTGATTACAAGCTGAGCAGTAGCATACATGCTTGCACATCCCCTGTCTATCATCCCACCCCACAAAGATGTGAAAGATACCTTCTGGGAAAGACGGCACTGATGGGCAGCCTTATGGGCTGCCATGCACATTCAAGGACCAGGCATCAGCAAAGCTGTGTCTCGTAACTAATTTATTCATGTGTTCATTCATTCCTTAAGTCCATGTTGATATAGTTACTAGCTGGGACAAACAGAAGGATACAAGCTATTGCATTTTCCTTCTCCTGCCATAAGGATGGCGTCTGTGCATGCTCAGCATAGAGTAGGTGTTCCCATTGCTCATTGTTCTCTTTCACGTACTTATCAATGATTCATGAAATGTTACAATGGGAAGAAATGCCAAACCAATCTGTTCATATTTTAAATTTCTTTCCAAGACTACTCCCCTACTCCCCTCCTCAAAAAAAAAAAAAAAAAAAAAAAAAAAAAAAGAGGTAGATCTAGAGTTTGGAGGTCTGAACCCAACCCTGTTCCATCTACCCCTCAACCCTTTTACAGAAAGCACAATTTGAAAACTACTAACCTTTCTCTGTCCTACAACCCCAGACAGGACTGAAGAGACTTGTTCAAGCTGTTTGGGCCTACCACTTAACAACTCTTAGGCCTTCATACTACCCATACTCCAGCCCCTAACACCTGGGTGTTTGTCTGGTTTCAGGGTGACCTCTTCAGTTGCAATGAGTGCAACGGCTGTTGGAAGAACATTCTCTTACACCCCAAGCTATGCCAAAGCTAAAATATCAGCTGCACGCTTTTTTCAACTGCTAGACAGAAAACCTCCAATTAATGTGTACAGTGGAGCAGGTGAAAAATGGGTAAGTACTGGGCTGGGTGGTGTGTGCGTGTGTGCACGCGCTCACGCGTATGTGTGCGCATGTATGCATTTTTATACAAAAGAGCCATTGAAGATAGTCAGATAATTCCAGTTCAGAGTCTAAAGTTTAGCAGCCTGTGTTCATTCGCATACACTCAGAATATACAAACAATAGATTTATAAATGTAAAGGAAGGAAATAATTGATGTGGAAAATCAAGTGTTACATCGGCATTTGAGTAAGAAAACGACATGTAATTGTAACAGTTCATTTTCCACGACTACAACTCAAGGATGCTCAATGTATACACAAGTTTTCTGGGCTTGTTGGTATGTATACCCCTGCAATCCTTCAAGTCAGAGGGCCAAGGGAGGATAATTGTAAGCTTGGGGACAACCTGCTCTTTATAACAGAAAAGAGACTTATTTGTTTATTGCACAGTTTGGAGGCAGCAAGCACACGATCTGATGGTTCCATCATTCATTCTGTTTTTTGAACCCCAGGACTACAGTGTATACTAGTGGGTTGTGTCCTGACAGAAAGGCATTATGGGGGAAAGATCATATAGTGAGGCAGAAAGCTACACTGTAGAGAGTAACAGTCTCATTTTCATGAGCACCCTCTTATTTTGATTTGAGGATTACAGACATGAGAATGTTTGCCTTCTTTCTACACCCTCTCCAACTCCATCCATGTTCTCCTAACCACTTCCTCTAGAATTCATGATCTCTTCTCCTGTACTAGTCACACACACACACCACCACCACCACCACCACCACCACCACCACCACCTACTAAGTCCAATTAGTCCTTATTTGTATGTGTTTAAGACTGACCCCTTAGGATTAGGGTCTTGTTTCTATGAAAAAGAAGCAGAGGTTTCTGGTTTTCCCTTTCTTAGTAGCTGACAGGCCTTGTGGAATTTTATTCTATTCAGGTTAGTATGTCATCTGGTGTGGTCTTTGGAGGCCTTGCACAGGCAACCGTGTTGCTATGAGTGTGTGGAGACAACTATCCATAACAAACTATTGCAAAGCCATCATCCTGGTCTTCAGCCTCCTATTCTCTCTCCAGCTTCTCTTTGAGGATGGTTCCTGAGCCTTCGGTGCATGGGTTATGTTGTAGATGTCTTCTTTAGGGCTGGATACTTCACGGTCCCTTGTATTCTGCATTTTGGCTAGTTGCGGACTTTTCTAGTAGTCTCTATCTGCTGCAAAAAAGATGAAATGATTGTTTGGTGAAATGTGAGAGCTGTGCTTATCTATAGATATAAAGACAAGTATTTGGAAAGCAGGTGGAAAACTGAGCCACTTTAGAAATATGGAAGTAGTGGGTCTTCTTTCTAAGGTCTCTGGGCTCCCAAGCTGTGAAGATTTTTTTTTGCTAGATTTTCAATTCCAAGTATGAATTCCTCCTAATTGAGCACACTTCAGGTACAATTTAGATAGCTTTTGATTTTCCCCTAAGTCACAAGTCAAGGGGAGCAGGAGAAATCTTGCTGATTCTGTTACTGGTGTGGTTCTCAGGCTTTACAGCTGGCTAGGGCTGCAGATAACTTCATCCTTGGTAGCTAAAATACTATCTTCCAGTGGCATGAGAGCCCTTAGAGAGGAGGTTTCCAGGTCAGTACTAGCTTGATTTCTCCTAGTCTTGCAACAGAAGAATATGGTGTCTTCAGTAGTAGTTTTGTCTTCATGTTCTGGTAATTAACCAAGAGCAGTGACAATAACTATATTGTCTGGGGGTGGGGGTGGGGCTCTTGGAAACCCATGAACTCATAGGCAAATATCCCATGCTTAGTTCTGGAGTTTCTGTTAGATAGATTGTCTATGGCTTCTGAAGGGAGCTATGTCCCACTGTATGGGGAGGCTGCATATATATGCATATATGCATATATATGTGTATGTATATATATATATATATATATATATATATATATATATATATATATCATGTATTTTAAAGTATGCTATAAAGTAATGGTTTCCTAGCTTCTGTGGTTACTGCGGTATAATTATCTCCTTTTAAGAACTATCCAGGTTTTCCAAAATGACATTAATTCATTCTGAGAGGAATAACAGCAATAATCAATTCACCATGTACCAAGCCTCTTACCTCTTAAATGTATAATTCCACTTCTTAACATCACCACACCAGGGTCCGCATATCAACCCTTGTGAGACACACCCCATATAAATCATAGCCTTAGCAACTGCTGAATTTTATATAACATAAAGCACATAGTTCTTTAATGAATGAAGATACATGTCTTTTCAGACCTATCTGGCCATCCTTTCCGTTGATATTTTGGGATGAAGTGGAAAGGCCAGGTCTTTTTGTTCACCAATACTGATTTGATTCACGTTTATTTAGATTTAAGTTTTAGCTCATGTGAATTACCAAAAGTTAGTTAATATCAACAAAATATACTTTCTTTTCATTTATTTAATCTCCAAGGGGTTTTTAATCTTCCCAGCCCATTTAAAAAACAAAACAAAAACAAAAAACAAAAAAACCTCTAGGGCTGGAGAGATGGCTCAGCTGTTAAGGGCACTGACTGCTCTTCCAGAGGTCCTGGGTTCAATTCCCAGCAACCACATGGTGGCTCACAACCATCTGTAATGGGATCTGATGCCCTCCTCTGGTGTGTCTGAAAAGAGTGACTGCATACTCATGTACATAAAGTAAATAAATAAATCTTTTTAAAAAATACTCCATATGTTCAAGAGAGCAAAACACCAGTAAAGCTAAGCTAAATTGTGAAAGTTTTGGTCAAGTGCCCTATTTTTCCTTCAGCTTGAAAGAATTATCCTCTGTAAACGTTTATGCATTTCTAGAGTTCATAATTCAGGTGGTATTTTAAATTGTTTTTTTACATTATCATATAAAGTAATAGGTTTTGTCACAGTACTTACATACATGTGCATCATTATAAACTGTGCAGCCACTATGGAAATCAGCAGAGAGCTTCCTTTAAAAAAAAAAAAAGAAAAAAAGAAAAAAAATAGACCTCCCATATGATTGAGCAATACCATTCTTTGGTGTCTACATACCTGAAGTCAACACACTACAAGAGAGACTTTCACGGCCATGTTTACTACGGTACTAGCCGCAATAGCTAGGAAGTGGAACTGTCTTCGTTGTCCACCAGATAGTCTGAAACACATCGAAATATTCATCTTTGGGGCACAGACTCCAAGCAACTTTGTTTGTAACTCATTATTTTAAAGAGAAATGTTATAACACTCAAAGAATAGCTGGTTTCCATGATGTGTTATCTGTTGCTATTCTCTTCCATTTTTTGTTTGTTTGTTTGTTTAATATAAAGAAATAGGTGATAAGGAGCGGCCCTTGGTTCAGAATAGAATTTTTAAAAAAGAGGTCAAATGTCTTTAATTTCTTTATCTGTCTTATTTCTATACCTGTCAACACTGGAAAGAAATGTCATTTGATGGTGTTACTCACTTGCTTGTTTGTTTTGAGACAGAATCTCCCTACATAGCCCAGGCTGGCTTCCAGTGAACTCACTATCTTCCTGCCTCAACTTCTTCCGTGCTGGGATTACTGGTGTGAACCACTATGCCCGACTAGAATGTCACCCACTGAGTTGTTGTTTCTATAATGCATATTTTCTTTTTTTACTGCATATTTTCATAACACTGTATTCAGTTAGGTACACTTTCTGTGTCCTAGGTTCCAGCAGGAACATATGTAATTCCAGTCTTCTCATCCACAGGACAACTTCCAAGGGAAGATTGATTTTATTGACTGCAAGTTTACATATCCTTCTCGACCTGATACCCAAGTTCTGAATGGTCTCTCAGTATCTGTTGATCCTGGGCAGACACTGGCATTTGTTGGGAGCAGTGGGTGTGGCAAAAGCACCAGCATTCAGCTGTTGGAACGGTTCTATGATCCTGATCAGGGAACAGTGGTAAGTGAGGAAAGGCTTTCAAGAACTTGTTTTCTATGTAAGATCTGCCCCCAAGTGGTCTCTGAGGCCGTACCTTGCCAGACTAAAAAGTTTGTGTTGGACACTTACTCCCGTGGCTGTTTGCATTTCTGTCCTCTGTTGATTGACCTCATTCTACCCCACAGCTTCTAACAGCATATTCTTCCCAGTTCCAGATGGCCTGCTGACCAGTTAGGAAAGAAAACTGGGCACAGTGCAAAGCTGGAGATGAGAGTATTTGAGGGACAATCACTCACCCGTAAATGGAGCAGAAAGTGCCGACTAATCAGGAAACTAAAGGCTGGGGATGGAAAAAGTGGGGTGACAGGGGACACAATGAGAAGGAAGCAAGACAAGGGAGCAGGCATGAACAGCTTGACACAACACTGGTCTAGAAGCTTATGCTTGACTAATAGATAAACACAACTTGACAAAGCCTTTGGCAAGGGCAGTTGACGCACTGGTGAACGACTTCATTGTTTACTCTTCTAAGTCCTTCTTTCTCTCTTTTCATATTTTATTTTTTCCTTTCTTTCTGGATAATGTATTCACAAGACTGTATAATCAAATAACAAAGACATTAAATAAAAAGTAATATTCTTCTGGACTTCTTCACTCAAAGACAACTCTCTTAACCACTTCATGGTTTGAACTCGCCCAGTAAATCATTACTTCTGTGTCCCTGAATCTTGGTTTTTCTGTTATCATGATTTAATTAGACTCTCTGCCAATTTTTTTTTTAAGAAGTGAAAAGTTAGCCATTGGGACTCTTCTCTCTTTTACCTGCTTTTCCCCACATAACCCAGTCTCTTTACAATTCCTCTACTGATTTTCCTGAATAGTGTGAACTTCATTCACTGCAACAGTGACAGGTGACAGTCTGAGGAGAAATGCTGAGAGAAAGGCAAGGTTCTCTTGCATAGAGCAAGAAGAGGAGGAGGAGGAAGAAGCAGGCAGATATCAGCAGAGTCCAGGAAGGGATGGGAATGAGGGGCAGTGATGGCCTGTGGTCCATTATCACTGCTGTTATTGATTGTAGACATGAAGATTTTAATGTACTTGAAAGGACTTGGTGATGGATAAACCTAGGAAGAACATTGCCCTAGAGAAAGGGCTCAGGTTTGTCACCTCTGTCATATCTATTGTCCAAGAAGATTGTAACTTGCCGCAGGCCAATCCACCATGTCCAGCATAAGCATGTCTACTAAGTGTGTTTCTCTGAATGCACGCACTGAATGCTCTGGTGACTAGAAGAAAGCAATCATTTTATGCATTTCTTGCATTTAAGGGCACAATACACTTTGCAAGCTCATTGTAAAATGTATCTGTGAACAGTGTACACAGGAAAACACTGATTTATTCAATTTTTAAAAAGCCTCTTTGCTTTTTGACAGGCTACCAAACACAGGTATAGTATGTTCGATATTAAATTAGGTATCTATGGTGTGTCCAGTACTGTCTACGGGAGATGCTTCAGGAACATGGAACACACCTTATTTCCCAGATGGTTATTATATAACACTTACACAGCAATTAGAAAACAAAGCTCAGTTTCTGAGTAGCTATTAAATTGTGTTTTGCAGAAATAGGTACTACGGGAAATACCTCAGACTGAGTATGAACTAACTCTTGGTGATCTCTGCCTTAACCCCCCCACACACACACACCATAAAATAGTGCTTTATCCATTGCTTAGAAATTATCTAAAAATATATCCTGGTCACATTCTTTTTTTCTGAAATCATACAGTCAATTACTTTACAGCTAATAAGTTAGATTTACTGTGTGTTTGGGAGAGACTCTTAGGAATCTTAAGTGAACCAACTTAAATGGTCCTTATTTTGTGACTGAGTTTCCCTGACTTCTGGACTGAATTCTCAGGAAACAGACACTGAGTTCTCATCATACAACGGACAGACAGTTTGTACGGTGCCTCCTGGCAGATGGTTCGGTATGTAATTGTGACTAAGTGGCCAAATATATTTTCCTCTGGACTTATTATCTCAACTGTCCAGAGAATAATGTCAATAAAACCAAGGGCACAGGTTTGATCCTCATGTCATCCAATCACATCTGTCTGTCACTGTCCCTGATCCCAACTTCCTTTCCTCTCCCTCTTCTTTGGGTGACTCCCAAAGCCTCAGAATACAAAGTCTGCATATTGGTACAGATTAGGCTATGCTAAGCTACAAGGAGAATTTTTTTTCTTAACTAAATACTGTCCCAAGATTCTTTCTCATTTTATAATACCTGTAGAGTTACAGTTTGGGAAAGAAAAAAAAAAACCAACATCAAAACAACAAAGTAATCAGTGTCAACTTTAATGGCATGCCTGTCAGAAACAAGTTCCACAGGCAATGTGATTGATTTCCCCGGGGCTCTGGGGATGTTCACTCTTAACAGAACAATGCACTGTAAAGCACCTACCTCCACAGCAGGAGCTTCCATCACTGCTGGAGTGCTAAAATGTTGTGTGTTGTCATCTCTATTGGCAGATGATAGATGGTCATGACAGCAAAAAAGTCAATGTTCAGTTCCTCCGTTCAAACATCGGGGTTGTCTCCCAGGAGCCCGTGTTGTTTGACTGTAGCATAATGGACAACATCAAGTATGGGGACAACACCAAAGAGATCTCCGTGGAAAGAGCCATAGCTGCCGCAAAGCAGGCTCAGCTGCATGATTTCGTCATGTCACTCCCAGAGGTAAGCATCAAGGCTGTTCTTTACAGAAACACAGGGCTGTGGAGGGGTGGGATACTCAAGATGTATCAGGACTGTGGTTCAGGCAGAGGTTCAAAGACAACACAATTTATTTCCCAGTGTCTTGTATTGAGTTGGTCTTTTAAGTAAAACAAATGCCCTCTATCGGCTGTATGTTACAAAGTATTATATTGTCAAACAAAACAGATGCTGTGGAATTCGCTACATATAAAATAATACCCATAGAGCATTGATGTCACCCAGTAGAAAGAAATCCAGAGGTTTAACATGGTTTGAATGCAAGCTTTTATATTTAGTACCTTACTGTGTAATTTTCGGATACCTACTTACTCGATATTGTCTATTCCTTCTGCTAAATGCAAAGAAACCCCAAAAACTTTAAAATGAGGGCATAGAGGTCAAGAGTCAGGGATAAATGGGTAGATCTTATGGGTAGATCTCTTGCCTAGCATGCATGAAACCCTGGGGTCAGAAAATAAATAGCCACACAAAGGATGCTGCTGGGGTAAGTCACATCTGCCTTGGTGCTTTTTACTTTTCCAGAGCCAAGTCTGAATTTGGCCGGCTCCATTATGCATTTTTCCAGTTCACTGAGAATCTCCCTTGGTGGTTGTTTAATAACAAGAAAAATTAAAACATGACATCTCAGCTATAGGCTGTAGCCTTTTCCACTCCATTTTTTAAAAACACCACTTGGAAATCCCCTTTCTTTGTAGACTGTCAGGTCTGTAAACTCTGGACTTGGAGTGCACTTGTTTGTTTACTTGCTGGCTTGCTCTTTCACAGGCTTCACTGAGTCTTAAGCTCAAGGCTCACTTGTAAGCTGGCCAGCCTAACTAGCAATTATATCGAAATTCCTAAACTGGAAAGCAAAAAAAATATTTTGAGTACCCATGTTTGCTAGCATGCCTAAAAACAAAGAAGATTTTCTAAAAATTCATTAAAGGAGTATTTTGCTACTAAAAGCACCCTTAGACAACAAAATGTAGTATACCTAAGGTTTCTCCTGGCTTGGTTGAACTTTTTCAGGAGTCAAGGAAGAGAAATGCAGGCAGGCAGGTTAGAGCAATGAACAGGGACAGTGGACCAGAAACCAGATCAAATCAGTTCTAAACTTTCTCACTTGCTGTCTATTGCTTGTCTTTGCGCAATTGTCTTGCTTCTCTGTGCCTCAGTTTTATAATGTATAAAATCAAAAGAATATCATTTGTGTGACTATGAAAAGATTACCCTTAGAATAACTAGCTGGCTGTAGTGGTGTACACCTTTAATCCTAGCACTTGGGAAACAGGCAGGCAGATCCCTGTGAGTTTAGGCCATCCTAGTCTATGTAGAGAATTCCAGGACAGACATGGCTACCCTGTCTTAAAAAAAAAGAAAGAAAGAAAGAAAGAAGAAAGAAAGAAAGAAAGAAAGAAAGAAAGAAAGGAAAAGAAAAGAAAAAGAAAAAAGAGGAGGAGGAGGAGAAGGGAGGAAGAAGAAGAACCCAATCCCTGGTGCAAAGTAAATACTGTATGAATGTTAATTATTTTTAATGTAGCCATGCTGGGTATCTAGCTAGACATTTTATTTACTAATTTTGAAAAAAAAAACAGCAAATACGTGTGTTGGGTACTAACACTGCATTTTGCAAGTGAGTTTGTAGCACAAAGACATTAAACAAGCTGTTGCTGTTCAGAAGACTAGAAGCAACAGAGTATAACTTCAAACCAAGACTTGTGTCTCAGAATGTTCTTTCAAGGGAAGGAGCCAACCAGAAAGGTTTTGAAGACATCTCTCCCCTGGGATTAGCCTCTCTTGCAAAAGATCTTTGGATAAAAGTCTAGAGATCAGAGAATTTCAAACCAAGGAAGATCTCCTATGTGGGATCTTAGTTGGATACAGGAAGAGATCAAAAATATAACCCTTAAAGAAATTCAGAGATGGGAATAACTGCCCGCATTTCCCAGCACAAACTTCATATAGTGAATATTTCTAGCTAGATTTGTTATATTTTACTGGATTCAATCACTGTTTCTAAGTTCGAAAAAAATTTAAATTCATAGACGACTCCTTGATGTGGGCTCCAAACGGCACATGAGCAGTAGTGTCTCCAGTTCTCAAACTTGTTATGCTTTTTCTAGAAATATGAAACCAATGTTGGGGTCCAGGGCTCTCAACTCTCTCGTGGGGAGAAACAACGCATTGCTATCGCTCGGGCCATTGTACGAGATCCTAAAATCTTGCTACTCGATGAAGCTACATCTGCCCTAGATACAGAAAGTGAAAAGGTCTGTGTTAATTTTCTTTTCTTCTTTTCTTATTAGTCATTTTATTCATTTACATTTCAAATGATATCCCCCTTCTCCGGTTTCCCCTCCACAACCTTTCCATCTGATCCTCCCTCTCCCCCCTCTCTTTTGCCTCTCTGAGGGTGCTCCTCCACCCACCCACCCACTCCTGCCTCACTGCTCTAGCGTTCTCCTGCACTGGGGCATCCAGCCTCCACAGGACCAAGAACCTCTCCTCCCATTGATGCCAGATAAGGCAATCCTCTGCCACATATGTGTCTGGAGCCATGTATCCCTCCATGTATACTCTGGTTGGTGGTTTAGTCCCTGGGAGCTCTGGGTGGTCTGGTTAGTTGGTATTGTTCTTCCTATGGGGTTGCAATCACCTTCATCTCCTTCAGTCCTTCCCCTAGCTCTTCCATTGGGGTCCCCAGCTCAGTCCAATGGTTGACTGTGAGTATCTGCATCTGTATTAGTCAGATGCTGGTAGAACCTCTCAGGGAACAGCCATACCCGGCTCCTGTCAGTAAACACTTCTTGGCATCAGCAATAGTGTCAGGGTTTGATGTCTGCAGATGGGATGGATCCCTAGGTGGGGTGGACTCTGGATGGCCTTTCCTTCCATCTCCATTCCATTTTTTTTTGTCCCTGTCTTTCTTTTGGACAGGAACAATTCTGGGTTAAAAATTTTGAGATGGGTGGATGGCCCCACCCCTCAACTGGAGGCCATGCCTATCTACTGGAAGTGGTTTCTACAGGTTCTAGCTCCCTTTTGTTGGGTATCTCAGCTAAAGTCATCCCGTCTGGTCCTGGGAGCCTCTTGCTTCCCTGGCATCTGGGACTTTCTAGTAGCTATCCCCAGTTCCCCATACACCACTGCTATCTATTTTTATTCAATTTCCTGACCCTCTGTATTTCTCTCCTGTCCCTTCCCATACCTGATCATGCCCCTCTCCCTTTTCCCTTTCCTTCTCCTCTCCCTTCCAGGTCCCTCCCTCTACCTCCTATGATTATTTTGGTCCCTCTTCTATGTAGGATTGAAGCATCCAGACTTTGATCTTCCTTTTAAGCTCCATATGGTTTGTGGGTTGTACCATGGGTATTCTGAGCTTTTGAGCTAATATCCACTTATCAGCGAGTACATACTATGTGTATTCTTTTGTGTCTGAGTTATCTCACTCAGGATGATATTTTCTAGCTCCAACCATTTGCCTGAGAATTTCATGAAGTCATTGTTTTTTAATAGCTGAATAGTACTCCATTATGAAAACATACTACATTTTCTATATCTATTCTTCTGTCGAGGGACATTTGGGTTGTTTTCAGTTTTTAACTATTATAAATAAGGCTACTATAAACATAGTAGAGCATATCCTTGTTATATGTTGGAGCATCTTTTGGGTGTATGCCCAGGAGTGGTATAGCTGGGTCTTCAGGTAGAACTATATCCAGTTTTCTGAGGAACCATCAGATTATTTTCCAAAGTGGTTTTACCAGCTTGCAATCCCACCAGCAGTGGAGGAGTGTTCCTCTTTTTCTACATCCTCATCAGCATCTGTTGTCACCTGAGCTTTTGAGCTTAGCCATTCTGATTGGTGTTATGTGCAATCTCAGGGTTGTTTTGATTTGCATTTCTCTGATGACTAAGGATGTTGAACATTTCTTTAAGTGCTTCTCAGCCATTCAAGATTCCTCAGTTGATAATTCTTTGCTTATCTCTGTACCCCATTTTTTACTAGGGTTATTTGGTTCTCTGGAGCCTACTTTCTTGAGTTCTTTATATATTTTGGATATTAGCCCTCTATCAGATGTAGGGTAGGTAAAGAACACACACTGAACCTCACACAATAGTGGTGGGAGACTTCAACACCCCACTCTCATCAATGGACAGATCATGGAAACAGAAACTAAACAGAGACACCATGAAACTAACAGAACTTATGAACCAAAAGGATTTAACAGATATCTATAAAACATTTCACCCTAAAACAAAAGAATATATCTTTTTCTCAGCACCTCATGGTACAGTCTCCAAACTGACCATATAATCAGACACAAAACAAGCTTCATTAGATACAAGAAGATTGAATCAATCCCATGCATTCTATTGGACCACCACTGACTAAGGCTGGTTTTCAATAACAACAAAAACGACAGAAAGCCCACATACACATGGAAGCTGAACAACTCTACTCAATAATAACTGGGTCAGAGAAGAAATAACAAAAGAAAGTAAAGACTTTTTAGAATTTAGTGAAAATGAAGGCACAACATAACCAAACTTATGGGACACAATGAAAGCAGAGCTTTCCTCTTGGAAAACTCATAGCTCTGAGAGTCTTCATAAAGAAATTGGAGAGATCATACACTAGCAGCTTAACAGCACATCTGAAAGCTGTAGAACAAAAAGAAGCAAATACACCCAAGAGGAGGAAGCAGCAGAAATAATCAAACTCAGGGCTCAAACAACAAAGTAGAAACAAAGAGACCTATACAAAGAATCAACAAAACTAGGAGCTGGTTCTTTGAGAAAATCAACAGGATAGATAAATCCTTAGTCAAACTAACTAAAGGGCACAGAGATGGTGTTCAAATCAAGAAAATCAGAAATGAAAAGGGAGACATAACAACAAAAACTGAGGAAATTCAAAATAATCATCAGATCTTAGTGCAAAAGCCTATACTCAACCAAATTGGAAAATGTGGATGAAATGGACAATTTTCTAGACCGATATCAGGTGCCAAAGTTAAATCAGGATCAGATAAACCATCTAAACAGTCCAATAACCTCTAAGGAAATAGAAGCAGTCATTAAAAATCTCCCAATCAAAAAAAGTCCAGGGCCAGATGATTTTAGTGCAGAATTATATCAGATCCTCAAAGAAGACCTAATACCAATACTTCTCAAACTATTCCACAAAATAGAAACAGAAGGAAAACTATCTATGTTAATTTTCTAAACTCTTGGGTTACTAGAAATGAGTCTTTGCTGGAAGCTTTTTGCATAATAAATGACGTGATTTTCACTTATCTTATTCATTTATAGTAGAAACAGACAGTAGTTTGGAAGCAAAAGACAGTAATCTAAAATAATAGTCTATTGGGCCACTCTAATAAAAGAAAAATCTTTAAATAATTGTTCTATAAGATTCTTTAGGTTAAAATGACACTTCTTTAAAATCAAGTAATTAAATCTTAAATCAAGGTAGTTTAGGTCACCTGTAAAACATAACATGTTTTATAGTGTTCAAGTTTTGTGACAGAGTAAGTAGACTGCACACAAGAACCTAAAAGGAGGCAGAAGCCATGTGGGGTTTCCACAGTAGAACATGTAGTTGGGAGAACAACTATGAAATTAAGACTTTGTGATCTACATCCTTAAGAATGAGAATTCACTCAGGTGTGAGCTAAAGTGTCCTTGGTGAGGAGAAGCATCAGAAATGATTAACCATTCCCTGCTTTGTTCCTTGGTGTTATCTTAGTAAACAAGACAATCCCAGTGTTGTGAAACTACATAGTGACATGATATTTGGTTCAGTCTTGCTCCACTGAACTTTCTCAGCCCGTGGGATCCAATTTAAATAAAGCATGGATGCTTTGAGCAACCACTCTAGTGTTCAATTTTGAGAGTTACCATCAAGTACAGAGTTGTTACTCCACTGGTATTTGCAATGGATTCTCAGTGGTGGGCTGGGGACAACCCTGTGTCTGTATTGACGTTCTGTCTCCTTTTCACAGACAGTACAGATTGCTCTGGACAAAGCCAGAGAGGGTCGGACCTGTATTGTCATTGCTCATCGATTGTCTACCATCCAGAACTCAGATATCATTGCTGTCATGTCACAAGGAGTGGTAGTAGAAAAAGGGACACATGAGAAACTGATGGCCCAGAAGGGAGCCTACTACAAGCTGGTCATCACTGGAGCCCCCATCAGTTGACGTGACTGGAGACCTTCACACACACAGATAATGATGTGCCAAGAACAGGAGGGTTGTGGATTGTTATAACTAAACCAAGAATTATTAATGCTTTACAGACAGAGGTATCCACAGGGATCCAAACTAATTTTGAGTGGCTTCTCAGTAATAATTTCAGTTTGAAATGTCTGTGTAGAAAGGCGAGAACCCAGAGTCAGTATGAGTCAAAGTCCAAAGTCAAGCAGCTGCGTATCTACCACCTAGTGCTGTTCTGAGTGGGAGCTGTTCACTGTCTTTATCAAGGGCTTGATGAGAGAGCATGGAGTCCTCCTTAGGACAGAGAGCTGTTTGTCTTCTGCATTTGGGAAAGCTCCTTGTACACTCAGCCTGCTCTGTAATCTGCACTCAACTGTTTGAGCCAGATCCAGGTCAAGAGCTAAGGACCTAGGGCTACTGGTAGTTCTTAATTAAGTTTTGTTTGTTTTCTATAGGGAAGCAAATTTATTTACTCCTAACACCTGTGAATAGTGTGAAGAGGCGCACTTTCCCATTCTGGAATCTCCCAGGCTCAGGGAGGCCAGAGGTGAGAGAGAAGGATTAGTAGAGGTTGCCAGTCAGAGGCATTGATTTAGACAGAAGACTCAAGTGCTGGTGTCACAATACACTACAGTGGGATCTGCCAGTGTGGAGCAGGGACTCTCTACTGGGACTTCTACTTTTCATTCCCTGCCCCCGTGTTGCCTGATATCCCTTACTCCTAGGAAATCCTATGCACCGAATGGAAATGCATCTGCTTCTTGAGTTGTTACATAAAAATCCAGTACAACATAGAAGAACATTTATGTTCATCATTTTCTTCAGAATATCACTAAGTACAGAAGGCTCAGGGTCTTGGTGTCACAATACACTACAAAATACAGCAGTATAAAATGAGAGATGGTCTGATGCTTAGGAGACAGCAAGAAAAATGTCCCAGTCACACACAGGCTGTACTCTCATCTCAACATCTCCCCTTCTTCCATCTTCCCGCCACATTCATCCTGTTTGTAACTTCATCTTCCCATGCTCAACAAATGAATATCTGCCTACAGAGGAAGACCAAGCTGAGATGGTTGTTGTTATTTGTCACTCAGGGTTTCCTGGTAAATAACTGCAGACAACAGGACATTTGGGACATGTGTTAGCAGGACAACCTGCAAGGTCCAGAATTGCTGAAGGCTGCCATACTGGGGAAGTCTGCGGAGGGTGGAGGGATGCCTCTAGTTATGGGAAAGAACAGGGACAAAGAAGTTCCAGAATGAATGACTGCTGCGGGCTGTGGTAAACACATGCTCACCCTCAACTCTTGAATCAGGAAGGATGCAACTCACCTGCTTAGGCTTAAGGAAAAGCTTAGGAAAAGCTGTTTGCTGGGAGGTCGCCTGTTTCCTAGAAAGACATTTGTAGAGCATTCAAGAGCAGTGGATCAAGGCTGTCTTTTTAAATAAAGTAATTCTGAGTAATCGATAAGAGGGAAAGGACGGACTGAATGAGTTGCTTCTGGTTGCGGTGTTTATTGCAGCAGTAGAAGAAACCGAATGATACTACAATTGGCCTCCAAATTCTTTTGTCCAAAAGTTCTTTTGACTCTAATTGCTCTGTCTCTGCTCTGCATGTGCATGGAAGAAAGCATCCCAGTCACAGAACACCTGGAATTTAGAGCTACCCACAAACATGCCACTTTCAGCAATGGGGCATCCATTTAGAAATGGGGAACCTGAGGTATTTGGTATTGTGTCCTAGTAGAGGAAAATATATGGGATCTCAATCAAGAATTGTTTGTCATTTATTACTCAAGAGTTAAATTTGAGTTTTCTATCTTAAGAAGTACCAGTGAATCTGTGAGATGGCTCAGGGGGTGCAGCCACTTGCTGCCAAGCTGACAACATGAATTCAATCTTCAGGTCCCATACAGTGGAAGAAGAGGCCCATAATAGACTCCCACAAGTTGTTCTCTGACCTCCATACACATGCCATGGTGCATGCATGTGTGCACAAAGGCAATCATGTGTATGCATGCACATATATGCACACACGGATGTATAAACACACTAAATAAATACATATAATTTTTTTAACAAAACCTACCTTTTTTAAAAAGAAAAAATAACCAGAACATTCTCACAGGGTTGGCTTTGAATCTAATCTCATACATTTATTTACCTAAGGGTTTGGTTGATTATATATGCACATATTGCATTCTTATGCATGCAAATCTCTCAGTAATCAGGCCACAGGAAGATGTCAGCAAAGATTTGAAAAAGAACTGTGAATCTCATTGCTGTTTCCAAGCACACTTTGAGATCAATTTGCATAGACACAGGCACCACTGTAAAATAGGCATTATATTTATTTCTATTTTTTTTTTCTGAATTTTGAGAGCAAGTGAATAATCTCACCTGCATGAGATGACAAGTGAAAGGAACTTCAATAAACAACTAAACCCAATTTCAATTTCTTTCAAACTGTGTTCAATTAAATGCCCAATTAATTTAAATGGATAGACTGTAAATAAAATAATGCACATGATTATCATCTAATTAGCACTGGCCAGCATTAAAATGTGCTCATTAGTGAGTTGTATGGTATCCTAAGGCTCATAATTAGTAATCAGGGTGTGCGTGATTGGCATGGGTAGCTGCTGGAATGTAGCTACTCAACAGAATAAATCAGAGTTAGGACGAAATGTGCCTTATAAAAGGAAAGAGGAATACATAAGGAGCTGGTGAATTTTCTCCTTTCTATAATTCAGGTGCAATTCCTACTCTCAGACACAAAGAGCTAAATCTAAGAGCAACAGAACATCTGTAGAAAAGAGAAATTTGCACTCAAGATGAAACAGGAAAAATCCCAATAGTTACTAAAGTAGAAATTTTGGCCATAAAAGAATATAAAAAGGGAGACAAAAAAGAAGAAGGAAAGAAAAGGAAAAGAAAAAAGAAAAGAAAAAGAAAGAAAAAAAAGACAAAACAAAACAAAAAAACTATTGTGTCCATTAACTGAGAATATGAAGTTCTACTCTATGAGGTACAGAATCAAAGTAAAGATAAGCAAGGTCTTAAATTTTCATAAAAGTTGAAAAATCCAATATTTATTTCAATATGGCTGTAAAGCATTTTGTAAATTAGTGAGCCTTTGCCTTTTTAATTTCAGTTAGTGTGGAATCAGCAGGCTGCAGAGGACAAATACAATAGTAGCTACATTCCTTGTTATATATGAAGGCATCATGGCAGGTGCTGTTGATTGGCTACATTGTTTTTCTTTGTCTTTCTCTATTACAAAGACTAGAATGTCTTTATCGGTTCAGAATCCCTTGCAGCTAGAGAAGGTCAGGAGATCCTGTCAGATTTATGAAACATAGGCACTAGGCTCTGTGTTGGTTTTCTCTTCCTAAATAAAATTTAATCTAGGCAGTGAAAACAGTTGTCTCCCTTCTTCCATGGATGCAAGCAGCCATCCTTGGAAAAAGGCAATGGTACACTTCCACAGCAGAACAAGAAGACTGAGCCTGACTCCTGTATACCCGCCAGCTAGTTCATCAGCCTTAGCTACTTATTTCAACCTCTTCCCTCTTCACTAAAGGAAAAAAAAAGGCACATTTCACTTTATATAAGGCACTGGAGTAGTTTATTGTTGTTGTTAAGTATCAATAAACATAGCTTTAAAACATATTTTCATTAAAACTATTGAAGACTATTGAAGAATAAGTATGCAGAAAACGAATCAATTTTATCCTAAAATGACCTTGAGATATGAAATATCAAGAAATATTCTAAAATGATTTTTGCTTTTGTTTGTGGTTTTGGAGATGGCTTCTAGCTTTTTAACTAAGTCTAGCCAAGAACTATCTCCATAGCTCAGATTGCCTAGAACTCATGATTCACTTAACCTCTGAGTGCTGGGATTATTCGAATGAACTATTATGGCTGGTTTTTAGAGAAATCTCAAAGTCACTAATTTAAATGAGGAACCAGTTCATCTGTTTGCAAATTAATACTATAGAAAGGATGGTGAAAGTTCCTGGAGTTTATTTTAGTGGTTTTTCAAAAATATTCCACCTCTCTGGCTTTAAATAAAGGAAGTTGTTATTTAAGTACTTCACATGATGTGCTGGAACTATGATTGCTATGTTCTCTAGCCCTCATTAAGTAAGTATATTGGGCATACCCTGGGAACATCTAGATTCCATCTGAAGGTTATAAACAATTGAAAGTTTATGGAGAGGACAGAATTAAAAGGCTAGCCTACAAAGATGGACAATCATGTCACCAATCAACTTATAGCTATGGTCTCAATTCAATTTTCTCAAGTGCACAGGCTAGTGGTATCCCTAGGATCTATTGAGAGCTACAGTAGATAGCCAGGAGCCAATGGGACCCTCCCCAGGACACAGGGCATGCCCTCAGCCCTATACCTCTAGCACCAAAACTTGATTAATGTTAAGTAGATGGTTGACGAGTTAGAAAAGAAAAGCCCAATTAGACCCTGAAGGATGGCTGAGCAGTTTTTGAAACTGGTTTCTAATATTTCCTTACTTGGTCATACTCAAATCTCTTGGCATCATGCAATTCACGGTAGAGTTATGACACATTCAGGAAGCACATTTCAACAGCATGAAAAATTAAAATATGACTTTGTTTTTAATTTTTGAGGTATAATTACATCATTTCTTTCCTCTCTTCATCCAAACCCTCCCATATATCTTTCCAACTCTCCAATTCATGGACTCTTTTTTTCATTAATTTTTGTTCTATACATATGTATATTCATATGTACATTTACTATTTATTTATGGATGTATATACATAAACATATATATTCCTAAATACATAAATGCACCCTGCCTAGTCTATATATTGTTACTTGTATGCATGTGTGTGTTCAGGGATGATCAATCGATATTGGATAACCAGTGGTTGAGAGATGTGTAGTCTGTAAACTTATCAAAACACTAGTTCAAACACAGTCACTTTCCTCACCCAGCAAACATCTCCAACCCTACTTCTTACAAAATGTCTCCTCCTCTCGCTCAGCCTACTATTTTCTGTATCTGCTAAGTATCTCTTCCAGCAAGAATTTCCATCTTAAGGAGTCCAGGAAGAATGGAATTGGAAATTTAATTATAAGACCAATCAGTGAGCATGAATATGGATAGTCTCATGTTAATAATTTTGCCTCATTATATCAGTTGAATTATTTCACATTTTCATATATTTCCTTTTATAGCCATAAAACTTGAATTTTAATTGGCATAGAATGTTTTAAAGGCCAAAATGTGTTTTATCGATCCCAAATTGTTTAACAAAGGAGCAAATTTCAGATTGGATTACAGTCTTTTTTAGTATTTATAGCTTTGTTCATCTCATTAAGTAAAATTAAAAAGTATCTATGATTTAATACATTTGCTACAGCCATTTAATACATATCATACATTTAATACATATCATCTTTCTTTTTGCTTTTTATATAGAAATGAACAATTCCTCTATAAGTCTTCCACCAAGAGAGTGCTTCACAAGAACAAAAAAAAAAAAAAAGAGGAATTTGAGGAAGTGTTACAGTTTGAATCTAAAATGTCCCCCATAAGCTCAGTTTGTACATTTTGGGGGGCATGTGTGAGGTTATAGAACTCTTAGAAGATGGGCCCTAGCTGAAGAAAGTGGGTAATGAGGGTGGGTTGGGATACGCCTTGAAGGTTATAACCAAGCCTCATTTACTATCACCTCCCTGCTTCTTGCTTCACAGAGATATACGTAAGCAGCTGCCTTGAGCCCAAGCCACCAACAATCCACCTTCCCCATGCCTTCCCCATTGAGATGCACTGGACGGCCTCAAACCACAAAGGAAAAACGTCTTTCCTCCCTAAAGCTGGCTCTTGTTGGGCTTTTGGTGGCAGTGATGAGAAGTGACTTGTATAGAGAGCCAGAGAATATCATGATTGACAGTGAACCTGAGTCACAGCTGGAATGAACTTTCCAATCTTAGTCTAGGTTACATGCCTTAGTTAAAAAGTTAGTAAACTGTTATTCTGCTTGACGGAGGAAGTATCAAATCACCCTCCAAATTCACATCTCACTATGTAGATACTTCTCAGACTCCATCAGGGAAGTTTCTTTGCACAGTGGATAGTGCCCAGTGTAGAAACTGGTCCAAGTTCAGAGAACAAGTGGCTATGAAGTGCTTAGCCACAAATGGGACATCTACAGCAAGCTGCTCCTCCCCCACAGCTCAGGGGTCATCAAGGAGGAAGAGGTAGATAGACTCTAAGGCCCAGATGTAGAGGAAGACTGGAACAAAAGCTGTTCATTTTCGGGACATGGCAGGACTGCTGTATTCATGAAGTCACAGCTTGTGTGGTTGTCTGTACATGATCAAGCCAGTCCACATTCTAGCATGAGGGAAAATGAGGTGTAGTTCATGGACCCCACCCACAACTCAGGATCTATGGACAATTCACTCCTTCTAAGTGAGGAAAAGACATTGTTTTCTTTATGGCTATGACCCATTGAGCAGGCTCCAGTCTATGGCCCTACAGTCAGGAGTAAGGGGGAACAGAAATTGGACTCACCCTATAGGTGTTGTGATTTGTTTTCTGATAAACCACTGATCAAAACCAACTTGGGGTTGGGGGAGGATTTAAGTGGCTTACAGGTTGCAGTCGATTGTTGAGGGAAGCCATGGCAGAAGGTCAAGGTAGGTGGGGTAGATCTGGAAGAGTTTAGGGGGAGAAGTGAGTAAGATCAACGTGGAGGTTTGGATGAGAATGACCCCCATAGGCTCAACTTTGAATGCTTGGTCCAAAGTTGGGGGGATTGTTTAGGAAGGTTGAGTATGGCTTTAATGGAGGTATATTATTTACAGGAGGTGGGGATGGGGGAGTCAGCTTTGAAGTGTCCAAAGCCGATGCCATTCCCAGTTAGTGTTCTTCCCCCCACCCCTGTCTCTCTCTGTCTCTGCTTTGTCCGCCACCTCATGACTGTGGGATCAGATGGAACTTCTCAGCTACTGCTCCAGCATCACCGTCTGTCTGCCTGCTACCATGCTCCCCATTATGTTGGCCACAGACTCTCAGCCTCTGGAACTATGAGCCCCCAAATGAAAATGTTTTCTTTTATAAGTTGTCTTGGTCATGGTGTCTCTTCACAGCAAGAGAAAAATAACTAAGATCGAGAAACCTAATCCAGCAGGACCCCAGATGCCACATTTATTCCTCTCCCTGACCTGTACTGGCAGCCTCTCTGAGGAAGTGACACAGTCTTTGAACAGAAGACAGATTCTCTTCAGAGATCACATGGCAAAATGTTGGAGGAAAAAGAAAAAGCCTAAGCAGTTAAGAATTCATAACAACAGAATTGATTGGTTTCACACTAACCTTTATAACCTCAATCTTATAAGGGTTTTCTCCCTACTTTAGAGATATTTCTCTGCTGCCTGAAGAGATGAGACATGGTTTCTTCTAAATCATTATTGTGATCTCCATCAAAGGACAGCAAAGACAGTAATTAGTACTCTTCACAAACCAGCCTCACATGCGACATAAACTGCATTTGTCTTTTGCAGAGCCCAAAATGAAGCATTTATTTTTAGAATTTTCTCATGAGTTGTTTTGCTTCTAGAGCTTTCTGCCATTCCTGTTCCTTTAAGAGAAACAGGAAGAGAACATTAAAATATTAACAAAGTAGCATAATCTGACCTTCATGAGGGAATCATCAGATGATGCATTAAAGGTAAGGTGGAGGTTAAGGCTGGCTTTCTAGTTCCTAGGCAACATTAGATTTAAGTATTCATCCAAAAAAAAGCTATTTATGATTTACAAAGAGATGAAAGTCATCAGTGAAGGCAAAGTCTTCAGGGCACCTGGATACTTAGAGAGCTTTTGTAACTAGTCTCTGAATGACTGACCACAGAAGTGTTGGTATCAGACAAACATATATGCTAAACTAGGAAAAAGCAGGAAAACTTGGTCAGAAAGTCTTCCAGTTATCCTGAATATAACCATGAATTGTGGGTAAAACACACAGTTTTGCTGCCGTTAGATTCCCAAGACATGGTGTAGGGAGGATGAACTTAGACTCCTTAATTTGGAGCAGAAAGCTGAGTTCAGAGAGACCAGGGTGGCCAGAGCACACAGGATGGAGTCGGGGAGAAGGGATCTGAACTGATGGAGGTATCTCTTGAAAATACTGTAGAGCCCAAAGTTAACCTGCTACAGACTCTCTGCCTCACCCACAACAGTTTGGAATAGGAGACAATATAAATTTTGTTTTGCTTTGTTTTTAAGAAAAAAAAAAAAACACTGTGAGGTTGTACTTGTAAAACCCAGTTTAGTAGCCACTGGACACGTATTTAAACTAAGAATAAATAACATTTTATAATAGCCTTCTTTAGTTGTACTAGCTAGCTGCCTTTTAAGAGCTTAATAATCAATACAGCAGCAAGTATCTTTATTACTTTAAAGAGTTTCATTAAAAATTGCTGTGGAAGTAGTCTTAATATATTCAATGAATTAAAATTTTGTAAATGTTTTTTAAGTAAGAGTTTTTCATATGCGTATGTGTCCATTTGATCTCAAATTTTATGTTAAAACTTTGGATCTGTAATATTTAGAGCAAAGCTCTTAGATTTCAAGAAGGTCTTTTAACATTTCAAGGTTCTCTGTTGTAGGGACAAGCACACAGAGATAACACCAAGTCAACCTTCTAAGGGAGAAGTTCGATCACTAGGCTGCCCAAAGAAAGTGACTCAACAGTCTTCCTGGTAGCTAGTTTTAGCAATAAAAAATTTCCTCGAATTTCTTTTCAAATGCATGTTTGATTGGGACAGCTTCCCAAGCCACTTGTCTAAATTTTATCATCCTGACAGCTCATGATATTGGCATTTTTCTCTTGAATATGCAGATGCGGAGACGCATGGACTAGATGGATATGGGAAGTCAAACGAGCTCGTTTTGCTTATTTCTTGTGAATAAATTGAAAGCCGAAGTCTTCTCCATCATGATTAAAATCAGGCATTTTCTCCAAGGCCATATAGCGCTGTTTCTCTTGCTGCCTAAGCAATTTCAATCACAAAAGCAAATTGCCTCCATATGGATTCCTCCAGGAGACTTCAACTAAATAGAAAGAAAAATCTCCTCACTGGGGACTCTGAGGCTTCATGGTAGACAGGGGTGGAGTTGTTGGAGATTAATTATTGAAAATAAGCCATGCCTCATCCCATTTCCCCTCTGAGGATCACGTGTCATCTAACAGACAGCTGTGTAGAGTAGCTGAAGAAAGCTCCTCTATGGGGACCTACAGGGAGTGTTGGTAGAGCTGGCACAGCAACAGAATCCCCTGACTATTGATGGCACAGTCCCCTTAAGCGGGCTCAGAATGTACTGGGATAGAGGATTCAAGATGAACATTATTAACTCTACAGGAAACTTTGAAAACAGCTCAGAGGGTAGCAGGCCTCTTACATTTGCAGATGGGACTGGACAGACAGAACACAATGCGCTGAGGACTACGGTAGCCTTATGGGAACAATGACAAAGAGCACTGAAGAAAGGAACAAGAACCATCCTGTTCTATTTCTTTTGCTCCAGTGCTCCAATCAACATGAGATAAATTTATTCTGAAGTAAAAGCTTCCTTTACCCTGTTTTGCTTAGGAATCCATTGCCTGTTAAAAAAAAAAAAGAGCCCTAGTTAAAGTGTCTTGTAAAAGTAACAGTTCATTTTCTATAATTATACTTGGAGAGCTGCCAAAAATTAGCTGTTCAGCTGTTCGATATATTATTTTCCATGACTACTATCAAATAGCCTTCCCTTCAACTGGTATGTTTTCATACATATTGATGACCTATTTAATAGATCATCACCTAAAATAACTAATTCATTAATAACGTTCTTGGGAAGAGTTACAAACAACATTGCAGTAGACCACAGGCCATCGACATGTAGCAAAATTAGACTCACAATCTTCAAACTTGACCAGAAAGACATAGTTATCAAATGAGTCTAGAATTTCAATGAGGAAGAAAAAAATCTCACTGAGAAGTTGGTGTATATTAATAGCCCATAAATAATTTTCTGAAGTAAAGCACAGAGATTAGTCCAACAAACCGATGCACAAGTATTTAATAGTTTTTCTGAGGTAGAAAATTTTATTATCTTCATTTTTGAAAGATTTGACTCCTAAAAAGTAAAATATGGGGATGCCCCAGTGAAGAGATGAGGTTTTTCTGGTGAATAGTAATCCAGTGGGTTGTTTTCAGCAGGGTTTATTGAAACATATACAGCCATTGCTGGCCTGGAAAAGACACTGTACTCTGGACATAAGTCAAATAGAATGTGATATTCAATGACATTTCTGAAAAAACAAAAACAAAAAACAAAACAAAAAAACAGGTGTCTTAGATGGCAACCATAGACTTTAAATACATGCATTTGTTCTTACTGATTTTTTTAACTCTCTAAAAATTAAGAAATAAAGCATTGTTATAGAGATATGTATCAGAAGCATTGGGTTCCAACTCTGGTTCCAACCTGGCATTATTACAGTCAAGTTATTTGATCTGAACAAACCTCTATTTCCTTATCTGATACATGAGATAAAACCTCAGTGAATGCTCCAGTAAAGATGGGTTTTGACTATGGACACTTCTAAGAGGCCTACAGGAGCCAGAAGTAGCTAGGCTTTAAGATGATAGAAGCATCAGACCCTGGGGGTTCTGTTGAGTGCTAAATACTATGATTAAAAGGAGTCTTTCTGCTTAGTGGAACGGTCAGCATCCAGCCGCTGTCAACTGTCTTTACTGGGCTGTATCATCTCTATGTTGCCATATTGTCAGGTTTGCCAAGAAAATATGGATGCAAATGTTTCTAGTTAAACACTGTTAATTTAAATGTCACTTGGAAGGCAGGCTAAACTTATGTCTGTGGGTGAAGCAGGACCTTTGGCCATCATGGTGTGACCTCTGTAAAGATGCTCCCAGAATCTCTGCTGTGGTTCTATTGAGGAATGCAAGAAATCGGGTGATCCTGGGAGCACAGGGCACTGCAGCTCACTTAATCTTCTTCTCACTGGGTCTCATTAACATATGTACACAGTAGGGAATTAGAGCCACCACGGTCAGTGGGATGGATGCACTTTTCCAGAAAGACAACAGATAAAATAAAGGTTCCGTGTGAGTCGGGATCTTGATGAAGCGATAAAGTTGCACTGTGGTCAGTGAGGTCAGAACACAGAGCAAGCGGAAGCTCAGCTCGGAGTCATTTTCTCCCTGGGAGCTCAGAAGGAACATTTCTGAGTTGATGGCAAAACCCAAGCCAAAGAGGACCCCCAGGTTTCTCACAAGTCCAGCAAAAGGCGTGCTGTCAATGTGGATCCAGTCTGGGTTGGCACACCACTTTTTGGCAATGGGCACAGACCACAGCAGGTCAATACCGAGCAGTCTGAGAAGCAGGTAAAAGCCAAGAGCAAACAGGAAGAGGAAGACGTTGGTCTTCAGGTACACACTCAAGCTGGCCATGTAGATTCCTGGAGTTCGTTCGAAGGCCTCTGCTACTAGCATCCCTAGGGATTGGAAAGAGATACTGACATGAACTTGTGACCCTAAGACTTCAGGAATCCCTCCCCTCTGCACTTCAGAGGGCTTCAGACAGCCAGGTTCTAACAATTTACTAAAGTGTTTGCAGACATAAGCTGAAAACAGATTAGTCCCGTAGTCTTTCAAGTACTTACATTGGTCAAAGAAGGATCAGTCGAAAGTCAGAAGCACTGAGTGACAACTCATTTTGCAGGCAGAACACTAAGCAATACAAAGCTGCCACCAGATGCATAGCCATGCAATAAGAACATAGCTCCAACCGAGTATCTTGGGTGGGTTTCAGGGTCCTTATGAGGTCCCTCAAAGAAGATGAAGGCACAGTGTCTGACATGATGGTTGGGATGAACCACTTCACTTCAGTTATACCTCAGAAAAGCCCATCTCCCCATGCAGTTCTCCATTTACACCACTGAGAGAGACTGTGTCAGCATGTGAGAAGAGGCTCATGAGACAGGTCTTATTAAATCACTGAAGCCCCCATGGTAGCATGTATGTTAGTGGCTTGATTCAGCTACCCCTGAAACCAGAAAGCCGATGACCAGAGTCTGATGCTACAATGTGGTAAACAAAGCGAAGTGAAGTAGCACAACTGAACATAAGAGGCCATATTTACCACCAATCACTCCAAGAATGACCTGATGGGGGAAATGTGTGGCTATGAACACTCTGGAGATGCAGACGCTGATTTGAATCAACCAGAAAACACTCCAAAGAAAGGACCAGGTCAGTCTGTGATGGAAGAATGGATACGAGTGTGAATAGCGAAGAATTCATAACACCTATAAATGTAGGTGGGTGAAACCTGATCTTCCTCCCTACGGGAGTCTTCCAGGTATGATGAAACACAATTCCAGAGTCTTTCTCCTTGAACATGCTTTCATACGATTCATAGGATTCAATGGGTTTTACATGGGACTTCACATTCCAAAATGCTAGCTCCTAAGATATTAATAAAGTTTAAAAGGACAGTGTTTAGTCAAAATCCCATTGTAAAGCAGAGAGAGTGAACATTAAGTTCCCCAGAAGAAGAGCTTTTGGTATTTGATAGCCACTGGGAGGGGAAGAGTTAGGTTTTTTGTTTTGTTTTTAAGAGTAAGACACACACACACACACACACACACACAGAGAGAGAGAGAGAGACAGAGACAGACAGAGAGACAGAGAGAGAGACAGAGACAGAGAGACAGAGGCAGAGAGAGACAGTGAGACAGGGAATGAGACAAACATAGACAAAGACAATGAGGAAAAGACAGAGATAGAGTCAGAGACTGAGAGACAGTGAAACAGAGACAGCGATAAAGACAAAGACAGAAACAGAAACAGAGGAGAAACCCAAAATTGGGTTGGTAAGGAGGTTGTGGTGGATCTGGGAGAAGCTGAGGAAGAAGAGATTAGTATTAAGATACATTGTATGAAATCACCCAAGCCCCCATGGTACATTGTATTTGCAAAGAATTATTACAAACATTATTTTTTTTAAAGAGGAAGGCATTTTGATAACCTTTGAATAAGGAAAAAGGAACGAGGGAAATTCAAGTGTAGGGGAATTAGTAGTATTAGAAAAATCAAGAATAGACCATGCAGACTTTTGTGTTTTATCATCTGTGCATCCTCTCTGCTGTCCATTCTCAGCTTCTCTTTGTTTGCTACAATACAAGAGAGGCAAGCCTCCATTTAGGCGAAAAGCTCATGAACATTCCACTGAGCCCATCACCTCATGGTCTGTGATTTCACAGATTCTCAGCGGCTCGAATCATTTTATGAAAGAGAAAAAATGTGGAACAAGAAAATATACTGCATACATTCAATTAGAAGTAGAAATGTGCAAAAGACACGTGAGATATTAAAATCCAAACAGTTAAAACAAAAACAAAAACAACAAAACCAGCTGTATTTAGTGCCATGAATCCTCAGGTCATTTATTGTTGACAATCAGACCAAAATTTAGTTTTAGCAAGACCAAAGGTTAAAAAGAGATGAGTCTGTCAGACAAGAGGTAGGAAATGGAAGAAGCACTAACAAGGGCTTGTGAACCCCAAAGTAAAGTGTAGGCACCCATTTATTTTTTAATTTATGTGGGTGAGTGTTTGCCTTCATGTATGTATAAACACTGTGTGTGTGTGTGTGTGTGTGTGTGTGTGTGCCTTTGATGGACAGAAGAGGATGTCAGATTCCCTGGAATTGCTCTTGTGAATGGTTGTGAGCCATCATGTAGGTTCTGGGACCCTTCCCAGAACCCTTGGTCCCTTGCAAGATTCAGCAAGTGCGTTTAACCACTGAGCCATCTCTTCAGCCCCCACTCTCTAAATTTTTACAAATGAAGAAAGTATTGCCATTGTAAACATTAAAAAGGAATAGGAATATTTTTTAAAATAAAAATATTTTTAAGATGGTTAATTGGAGGGGAGCATGACCCACACAGACTTAGTTCTTACATTATTCAAGACTACTCTTAAAAAGTAGAATGTGTTTTCTATTCTTTATTTTAAAAGAAATTTTATATGCTGGTATGGTTGTATGCCATATTTAAGAAAAAAATTGACAAATTTCTTTCAATAACTAAATTTTAGTCAGCTTGCCAACAACATAACATTTGAGGATTCCTGACAATACAGCTTTATTTTTCTTTTAAAATTGCTCAGATTCTAATATTTTTATAAGATATTTTTTGCATGTTTCTGCTTCTAATCAAAACTGTACTTTGCTGGGCAGTGGTGGTGCATGCCTTTAATCCCAGCACTTGGAAGGCAGAGGCAGGCGAATTTCTGAGTTCGAGGCCAGCCTGGTCTACAGAATGAGTTCCAGGACAGCCAGGGCTACAAGGAGAAACCCTGTCTCAAAAAACCAAAAACAAACAAACAAACAAACAAACAAACAAACAAAACCTATACTTTATGACAAAGTGGTGTTTGGGAATACTTTAATTACAAAGAATTTCATAAAAAGAAGAGAAGAAAAATCCCAATTTCTACAAATAGTGAGTGATCTTAAAGTTCTACATGCTTCTACACATTAAGAAATCTGTTGGCAGTAGGTCTAACACTCAAATTTAATTTTGCCTCTAGAATGTTTTAATTAAAAAGACTGCATAGACTTTAACAGCTAGAATATATTTTACTGATCTTAAAAGCATTGGGTGTTCAAAGTAGGAAGCATAATTTTACTAAATAAATCGACTCATTTAAGAGCTACGACGATCCTTAAAAATTTAAGTTAATCTTAAGGCAGGAGAACGTGCATGCAAAAATGTTTCCTTATGCAGCTCTCGATGACTTGTTTATGAGGTACCAAAATAATAATTGAATTTTGGAATCCCAAAGGCATATTTAGCAAGTCATTAATCAGATAAACATTTCCAACTCAATTATAAAAGTGGTAATAGCTGTGAGCTAATTAGAACATTATCTTAAAGCAGAATATTCATTTTCCACTCATTCTGCTACATGGGCTATGAAAGAAGAGAATAAGCACATTTCATTGAAAAACTGAAAATGTATTCAAATGAATGTTTACAAACGACCTTGCATATTCAATACTGTTTTGCCAATGCTTCAGAAGTTGGAGCAAGCTGACCTGTGCAGAGTGATAGAGGACTCATCCATCCGGCTGACAATGTAGCTTAAGGCAGCTGCTACCATGACATACCAGACACGTGATGAACCCATTGCGTGGCCAGACGGACTTCCTGTAATGAGTATCATTTGTTCAAAAGGTGATTAATTATCAGGATCACAGAAGAGACACTAGGATTGTATATTTGTCATGAAAATGACAAACAAACAAACAAGCCCATAGGTTATATATGTACTGCATAGAAGTAGATACAAAATAAAAAAAAAACTGGAGTCAATTTGAGACTCAAGTTCACCATTTCAAAAACATTTTTTTAAAACAGGAAGAAACAGAGCAAAAACTGCTAGAAATATCTATTTTTTCCTCTTGGTCCCCAGAGTGACCCGCTCTCGACCATTTATAACATGGATAATAATGGTTAGAGTTAAAATGTGACTTCTCCAGACAATTCCATCATGATATAATGGGGCCACGAGAAGTTCTGATTATCATGAACCTACAATGTATATAATCAACCATAACTTTATATAATTCTACCTAACTTCCTTTAATGAAAATGCTTTCTATATGAAACACACACACACCCTTCTCCAGAGTTTCAAGCTGATTGAATTCTGCAAATCAACATATTCGGTATAATGATTTAAGAATGTGGGCAGTTGCACCCAAATCTAACACAATCGTATTCAATTCTTCATATGTTGTTTTCAATTGACAAGAAAATTAAAGTACTTATCCTGGATCTTGAATCAATGTATTTTCCTTAAGCCGACAGGCTGTCATTGTTCTGCCTGTGGTTTACTGATTGACTTAAAAACAACTGCTGTGTGTATGCAGAAACCAGAATATGCATATTGTGGCTACTGCAGTGAGAAGCTTTGCCAAACAATGGAGAATCCAATCTACAAAGACACTAAAGGGGGCTGTGAATCTTGACAAAACCCACCTGCTCTCAGGCCTTTCCTAGTGCCAGAACCGATGCCTTTCCTACACTGTTCGTTTTATTTTCAACTACTTAGACATGGTACATAACTTTTCATCTAGTAGAAAGTCACTCAGGTTAAATATCAGACTATCTTAGAAAACAAAGGATCAGTCCCTTTTTTGTGAAACATAAGATTCACTGTAGGAATTCTTTCTCTCTCACCCCATACCCTGTAAAAAACATCTCACAAGATGGAATAGGTACTAGGAAGTTTTAAGATAAAACAAATGAACATCTCAGCTACCTCAAGGTTATCCATTGATCCATCCACCTACTTATCTCATATAAATATGAAATACATTTAATCCTCGGCTAATAGGACATACAGTCTGAGCAGCCAGATATTTAAAGAATTAACTGTGGTATTACAAATGCTGTGAAAGATGTACGTATACTTTTAGGGAAGCCAAGGAAGATATTCAGAAAATTCATTAGGAGCTCATCCACTTAAGGTTTGTTTCAAAGGACTGTCTAATGGCATGAATTTTACAACTATGATGTAGCACAAGACAACTCTTTCAATAAGCTAAAGCAATATGCATTGTCCCATGTATATGAATATACATAAACTGTTTACTCTCTTAAAGTTGACTTCTACAATATACATGTTATATTTAATACACAGGGCCTTGTAAGATAAAAAGAGCCTTAGGAAACTCTACTAACAGGATACACAATCAAGAGTGAAAAAGAAAAAAATGTTAGTGGCCGTGTGTCCTGGCAGCAGGAGTGCAAGGATGTCTTCATCTTTCTTATAAGACATCTGTCTCTTCCTTATTTGTGAGCGTCTCAAAAGAGCCATAGCCAGGAAGCGGCTGAGCAGCAGACAGATCAACGTTTCTAGAATCTTAATGTAGTTCTTTGGGAATTTGTTCTAGCTTATTGGTTTTTATTTTTTATTTGTCTTCATATCCAACCATTATATCTCTCCAAAATAATAAATACTCAGGTATGATGATTTGGGAAGTATGTTTCCCACCTAATCTTTCACAAGTAACAATATAGAATTTGGTAATTCCTAAAATTTCTTTCCTTCCTCATTAGTAATTTTTACAATAAATTTTAAGCATCCTCATATATGACATTTTCCTTGACATCCTAGACATCATACGATTATAGGATGCTAAGCATGTCTAAGGGCTCACTTCAGTAAGGTGAGGCTTCTTTAATTGCTTACCTGGGCCTGTTTCGCATGTAGTAGGAAACTGCTCAAGACATGGGCTTGAGTGATTTGGGTAAATCTCAGTTTCTTGGATCCACCAGTAAGGACGATGGCCAAACAAAATCCTGTGAATAAAGGAATATGAATTTCATATGTACTTAAATACAACAGTTGATTAAGTGGAGACTTGCAATTCTTGTAAAAAAAAATGCCTCAATTAAAGAGTCAAGGGGAAAGTTCATAATTAAAACACCCTTAAATAACATGAGTTCTGGTCTCTCATCATGAGAGAGCATGGTGGTATCTAGGGTCTGGGAACACTCATTTCCCATAACCAGTGGAGTCCTGTGGGTACTTAGATTGGAACTATCAAAATGGAACTTAGAATCATCAATCTCATTATTGTACTGCTAACTTCTTGGTTAATTATAGAATGTGCGTTATATGTGAAATAATGTATAATTCAAAGTATGTATTTCTATGCTTTTTGTAAGTTCTACTTATGAATCTGGTATTTCAAAGTAACCAGTTTGTTTGGAAGACATTCTATGTCAAAGTATATGGACCCAAAACTTGATCATTAAGCTAAAATTACAAATTTAAGAATACATTTTAGAAAAGATAAAATACAACAGAAGTCTTACCATTTAAATATAAGATTGAACCAGTCCCCTATGACTGCTACCCATATCATCTTGGTTCCAACAGTCTGATTCAACTGAAACCAAAGTGGGAAGTAAATAGAAAAGATATTTTGGGGGTCTCCAACACTGGACATAAAATTTAGAAAATCATAGTAAGCCCGGTAGTCCTTCTGCAGATGCTGAATAATGAGCACTCCGCTTCTATGAAGGAAATCCATCTTGATGCAGTTCTAAGCATGAAGCAGGTGGAGCTGCAGGGCTCTGTGTCTGGCTGTCTTTATATGGTACCCTTGTGATGCGTTGAGCCATTACTGGGACATGTGATGCTGACCATCTGTGGAGCAAGCATGATGGTTCTCCACCCCCTAAAAAGTTCATATGCTTATGACTTTAATTGGTGGAAAAGAGGTGCGGTACATGCTGATCTGGGGCAATTTGGGGGGAACTTTGAGAGAAGCACAGTGGATTTCTTCTGCATCCTCCCTTTGTATGAACAGTTGGATTGTGTTTGCTTGCCATTTTTCTCACAGTTCATTTCCCTCAAGGGCAGACATTAGCAATCTCTATGCTTGGCTAGCAGACTACATAAATAATTATTCCATGTCAAATAAGCCTCAAAGCCTTGAATTTTAATTTCAGTGAGACTGTGGCTTTCTGACTGTTCTACTGAGTCTTTCAGGAAAACAATAGAGTGAATTTTTTTATTTGAAAATTTTGTATCATTTGGCAGATTAATTTCTGATCACAGGTTTTAAAAAAACAAATTGTCTGACAGATCTTCACTATCAAAGAATGACAGGATACATATGGACAAAGAAGAGGATACAGGGAGTGCATGAACTCAGGGTGCAAACATGTTGTTTATGTTTTTGACTGTAAGGCAAAAAAAAAGAGCAGATGTTCTTGATTTACTTGGATCATAGAAGTGTGTTGAAACTGAACTATTATTATTATTGTCATTATTATTATGATGTATGTATGTATGTATGTATGTATGTATGTATGTACGTATGTATGCATCTACTGGTACACAGATAGTACAGTAGAGGGTGAAAGGACAACCTTCAGGAGTCACTCCAGGGAGTGAACCCAGGTTATTTAACTTGTGGAGCAAGCACTTTTACCACAGAGTGAGCCATCTTCCTGGCTCTATACTATTTTTAACTGACAAGAGAATACAGCTGAGACGTTTGGAAAAACTGCACTTGTGATAAAGATAGATATCAATTACAAAGGGCTTCCCACCAATCAGGAATTTCCAACCATTTGATTTGTTGGTGACTGTTCATAAGAAGTAAGTGAGAAGCACCCAAACAAGCATGTAGATTGGGGTGAAGAGGGTACGACATAGAGACATAGGGGCCCCAGTCAGCGTGAGAAGCTGCTTGGTTGCAACGTTGGTGAGGAGTGGACTCAAGCCCTCCACATGCTGAAGGTACAGCTATGATGCGCTTCTCATCCCTCCATCCAGATACTTGTCTTTGCTAATCACAGCCTCTCTTACTAGAAATGGTCTTCATTGGCTACGGCTGTCACTATAAAGCTCTTCTAGAGTTGTCCCATGATTCTACAGCAGTGGTTCTCAATGTTCCTAAATGCTGTGACTCCCTTAATACAGTTCCTCATGTTGTGGTGATGCCCAACCATAAAATTATTTAGTTGCTACTTCAAAACTGTAATTTTGCTACTGTTTTGAATCAGCATGTAAGTATCTGATATGTGACCACCACCACCACCACCACCACCACCACCACCCGCCCCAAAGGGGTTGCGACCCACAGGTTGTGAACCACTGTTTCTACAGCATCAGTGTTATGGGCATGCAGTTCTTAACTGTGCTTTGCTGATTTCTGTTGCTTCTCCCGGAACAAATGGATTGACTGGCCACTAAAATGTCTCAGGGCACTTTACAGTCAGCATAGTTCTTTTGATAAGGAGTAAATGGGGGGAAATTGCCCTGTTTCTAAGATACATGGATTTAGTAGAACTGTTCTTAACTGTCGGTTAACCACCTAAGGCTACCATGGGCAATGACCTTGTCTCATTGTCCCAGATCAACTGAATTCTTGGCGGTGGGGATCTGGGCATTGGTCATATAAAAATATTCCAAGTGATTCCTCAGTGTAGAATCCAGGCTTAGAGAGACTGAGCTAAAACAAGGCACATGTGGCATCTGCCTTGACCAACAGAAGTCTACGCTTCAGGCTTTTTTGCTTTGCATATTCAGGTTCTCTAATTTCCATAATTTCTTTAATGAGCCATGAGGAAGGACATAACTTCCTTTTATTCTTTTTCTAAGAAGCGTTTGAGCTACATAATTCACGATATTCATTTTCTTCAGAAGTGTCTTGTCCTTAAATCAGGGTGTAAATGATATCAAATACATTTGTGTCTTACAATTAAAAATTAAAGTTCGTGCTCACTCAAGGTTTTGGAGTCTATGGACTGTGATGACGCTGACTGCACAGTGGCTTTTCATCTTAGGGAGTTAATTTAGACAGACTGTATCTCAGAGGACTCCAGTTCTGTAGATTATAGGATAATTAACTGAAGCAAAAAGGATCTCAATGTCCCTCTTCCTTTAATACAATCTGCTAGATCTTCTTATTCCATTATCGTTTGCTAAGTCTTTTCATGTCTTGGCTCAGTGCACTTTCTCATCACTTTGGGACATTCTTTCTAGGGCATCATATTCCTTTGCTAAGGCTACGATGAGACTGTCAGACTGGGAGGCTAAAATAGCATACATTTATTTTCTTTTAATCACAGGAAGTAGAAGTCTATGATGAGGGTGTCAACATGGTTCTAGTTTCCTCTGTGGCCCCTCCTTGGCCTGTGGATGTCTGCCACCTTCTCTGTGTGTCTCTACCTGGTGTCCCCTCTGACCCTGTCCCTATCCTAGTCTAGTTCCTTCTTTCCTTTCCCATCTTTGTGTTTCTCTTATTTTCTTCCCACCTTTTTTCTCCCTTCTATCTCACTCCTTTTTCACACTAATTGTCGTTTAATTATCTGTCTGCCGCTGTTACTGTTATTTGAGATAGAGTCTCACGTGATCTAGGTTGACCCTCAATCTCCAATTCTGGGATTACAGGTATACCCCACCACATATGGCATTTTCTGGGTCTTCAAATCAGTCATTATCTTTATATTTTTCATCCAAGGAGCAAAGGCAGCCACACAAACATGAATTGTTCGATATTGTATTTAGAAATCAAGCCAAGGCCTATGAGATAGCTCAACAACTATGAACACTAGCTGCCAGGCCTGGCAACCTGAATTCAAGCTCAGGAACCCACATGGCAGAAGGAGAGACGTGACTCCTCTCACTGTGACACGCATACCAGCTACATACATACAAATGCAAAACTCTCCTACACAAAGCAAAGTGTATGCAAAAGCCCACAGTCAAGGACTTTGAGCATCAGTCCATTCTCTTCTTGCTGTAGGATGTGTCTCTGACTTTTCCAAGCTTCCAACCACCAGAGTTCTGCTATGACAGAAAAGCATTTTTGTGTGTGTGGGGAAAATCTTTCTTAGTACGTGGTTTGGGTCCAATCTTCGCCAAATTTTTTCAGTCACTAGGCAACTCTTCATCTGCAATTTATTTAGAGGTTACCAAACTCCCCAAAATCGCAGGCAAAATGTTTATCCATATGTACATTTGTTTGAAGGTCACAGCTTTCAAAGATTATCAGTGGAACCTCTGATCCAAGCAAATTAAGTACAACATGAAGTTCATGGGCATCCCCTGGACTGTTCATGTGTTACTCTCAGGATCCCTGCTTTCTCCATTTCCTTGGAGACAGCTTCAGTACTCCATTCTCCCAGCATGACTGGCTGGTGGTAATGATTTCCTTACTCTTAATGACTGTGTGTGTTTGTTTTCTTCACTAATGTAGCCAGTCTCAAAATCCTGTACTGTTGCCCTGTTTAGATGTTTGCTCTAGTAATTGATTACTTTCTGTTCTCTCCAGAATGTTATTATGGTTTATTTAAACTTTCCCTGGGTTTTAAGTAAATCCTGCTTGTTTTAGAATACAACATGGAGGCCACAGAATTCTTTCAGGATGTTTTGCCACAGCAAATATTTTAAGACCACAAGGTATAGTTTTATTATAAAATAAACTATTTGTTTCTGACTTATAGTGCCTGCTACAGTTCAACACCATTTAGACATTAGTTTAGCTTTGGCTAGTACTGCTAATATCTTGGCAGCAAACAAAAATAGATCTTTAATGTCTTCATGGCCATTATCCTTCTAACAAACTTATCTGCCTTTTCTAAAATAAATCATATTTGAGAACTCTCCGGTGTCACCTTGCAGTATAAGTGGATTTATTTCAGACTCTAGAGTTTAAGCTGTAGTGAGTTTTAGAAAATAATTACTTTACCTCCATTCTGGCTCACATCCCAGGAATACTGGCATTCTGTAATGACACTATTATAAATTATCTTGCCACAGATTTCAGGGACCCCTTCCATTAGTCTCATTATGAACTCGTCCCTAGAAATGATCATGACCTATACAGATCCATAAGCTGGTGCTTGGATCACAGGTTTCTCACTAGGAGAGCTGCCCATGGACTTGTTCCAGTCATGTTTTTCTTGGTGGAGCTAAGGCGTTATGTGGCTGAATTCATGTTACAGATGGCCAAGGGAGCACTTACTCTGTGTAACACAGTAGTCTACAAGTTTAGTTTGCATCCTGCTCACCTGGTGGCCATGTTAAAATGAAGATTCCCAGGAACTTGTTTCCAGAGTCTTAGATTTAGTTGGAATCCAGCAGGGCCTTCAAGTTTACATGTCTACTGAACTCCCAGACGATGGTAATATTATTGGGTAATGAGCCTTAGCTTTGGGAAGCACTGGTAGAAGGTTTTGATTTTTACCTGTGCTGGGTAGGACAGAGGGAGATCATACAGTAAGAGTCGCAGTGTAGTAGAGGATGTGAGATAGTTGCATAATTAACAGTGCTGTGCCCCTAGGCTTGAACACAGAGAGGATGGAATAGAACAAGCGCAGATAATAACTTTCAGTCTGTGACATGGAGCTTAGGGAGTTTTGTGGAAGACACAGCACTGTGACTGGGCTTCCATATGTAAATAATTATAAATGCAAATGCAGCGTGGATAGGGCAAAGGCATTTCAGAATGCGGTAGCAATAATACTATTGTGCTAACATATTTGCATTAATTAATTACTGTATTACATTTAAAAGCTGTAAAATTAAACCTCTAGATTTCTTCTTTCCTTCCTTCCTCTCCTTCATTAAGACCAATCTTATACTATAGCTCAGATTGGCCTAGAGCTCATTAGGGCCCATGCCAGCCTCAACCTCAGGATGCTCCTTCTTCTAGAGTTAAAGCTAAGAACCACCCTGCCTGGCTTCAAATGGCCGCTTTTTACATTGATGAGACAATTAAACACTTTCACCCAGGATGATCAATTTCGTTGCAGTAGTAGATAGAAGCTATGACCTCACTCACACATTAGGCACTCTACCTCTGAATTCCGCTCTGAGTTAAGGCAATTCTTCTCTTCCTCCTCTTCCAGGAGACAGGATCACATTGTGGCATCAAACTCACAGCAATCCTGCCTCTGTCTTCCTCATACTGGGCCCTATGAACAGATGCAACCCATTATGCCTGACTAGCAATCAACTTCTCAGAGAAAGCAGAAGAGTGGCTGCCAGTGCCCAGGGAAGGAGAATGGGATGTACTGTTCAGTGACTTGGAGTTTGAGTTTTGCAGAGGAAAGCAGTTGTAAGGTATGAATAACAGCAATGATGACAACAGTTAGTACGGTATCAGTGCATGCATAAAAGAAGTTAAGGTTATAAAATAGTATGTTACACATAGTTTACCACAATTTCCAAAAACTGAGTGTTTTCCTTTTGGCACTGAACATTTTTCCGAGTATTGAGAAAGGCCCTGTCTTTCCTCCCTCTGACACTCTGATAATGTTCATCATTTTTTTTTAAATTTCTTTTTTATGTTTTACAACTTTATTGAGTAACTTTCTAGTGTAATTGTCTTCAATACACGATTCAATGGTTTTTAGTAAATTTATAGAGTTGTAATCAATCATATAACCTAGATTTACAGCATACCTGTCACCTAGCAGGCTTCTATGTGTCCTTTGACAGTAGCTGCTGCTCCTGGTCCCCCACAACTACCCAACTGTCTTCTGTGTAGATCTTCATTTTTCTGATAATTCTCTATAAGTACGAATGTTTTAAGTTCAGACTCCATTCTAGAGAACCTGACCTAAGTTTGAACTCAGGTAAACTAACAGGCTGGTATCTAGCATTAGTTTCCAAGTTATCCCCCAACAAAACCCAAGCCTAACTCCAGTCTCTAGGCTAATCCCCAACAAGACCAGTGTCTCTAGGTTATTCCCCTAACAAACCTGTACCCCCAGGTTACAAGCCCATCCCTGCCTAATGACCACCAATGCAGAGGGGAGCAGAAATTAAGTTTTTGATATTACTCCCAGCATCAGCTGTTAAAGGCCACAGTAACTTTCTAATTAGATGCTTGCATACTCACCCCCCCCACCACTTGCTTGCTTACTATAAGGTCTTGCCCCATAGACATTCGGGGCTCCCCCACCACCAAAACTGTCCTGTGTGATGGTGATGCATTGGTTGGGGAGGGGGGATGGAATCTAGCTCGAATAAAATAAGACCCTGCTGTGAATTACATCAGACCGGCTCCTGTCTGCTTTTGCGGGGGGATCACTAACATTTCCCTGGCACTGCACAATCACATAATATATATTCCTTTGTATCTAGCTTACTTCGAGCAGCATATTGTTTTTAGGAAATCTCCTTGCCCCCAGAAGAATAAAGTTTGTTGTGAGCTTTTCATTCAATTCTAAGTACCCTGAAATGACTGTTATTTTTATAATTTTCAGTGTTTCTTTTGTATGGAAGAATTCTTTATGACTTCATCAAATTATCATGCCGAAGGGCTCAGAAAATTCTTCCTTTTATCTATTTTTTAACACAGAAGATGACAAAGTCTAGTGAAGTTGTGTGTGTGTGTGTGTGTGTGTGTGTGTGTGTGTGTGTGTGTGTTGAGGCAGGGTCTCACTAGGTAATACTGGCTAACCTGGAACACATTATATAGACCAGGCTGGACTTGAACTCACAAAGATCCCCTTGCCTCTGCCTCCTAAGTGCTAGATTACAGGTGTTTGACATGATGCCAGGAGGCAATAAATTCATTCACTTTGATGATTGTATTTGTATTCTGTTGGTTCTATTCCTCTGGAGAACCCCGACTAATCCACTGAGCAAGGCTTCCTCAAACTGCTCCATACAAACACCTCCAGTCTAGAAGATGTAATATGTTTTTCCTCATCACCTGAAGAAACCCGACCTGGGTCACAGAGCATATATATTCCAGAGAAGGCAGTGCTCAGTTCAACACATAACTTGATAGTCACAATAAATCCTACTTGGGTTGAAATGAATGGCACAAATATAGCTATAAAGATGATGATAGTGTCTGTAGGTGGTGACAGAAGAGTGTCAGAAAACTATTCTCTGTGATGAGAGGCAAGGTGGGGACAGGGTAGCATATTTTCTCTACCCAGTGTTTCAGATATAAAAAAAAATTGACAATAGCAATTTTTTTCTTATACCTTAGTTGAAAAGGAGTCTTGACAAAAAGTCAGTGGTCATGGCTAGGTGTAATAGAGAACACACACAACGTCACGCACTCAGGATGCTAAGGCACGAGGGTTACAAGTTCAAAGTCAACCTGAGCAACATGGTAAGACTGTCTTAAAATTACAAGGCAGGAAGGGGTTGGGGATATGGAGTGGAGTGCTTGCTTGGAATTTGCCAGGTTATAGATCCAAAACTGAGCAAAACTGGAAAGAGAGGGAATGAGAAGATTGTACGGAGGAAGGGAAGGAGAGAGATATCAAAGCTAGCTCGGAGTACATAGCAAGCTCAAACAAGGAAACAACTCAAATTCCCCGACTCCCACACCTTCAAAGAAAGCAATGGTCATCAGAAGGGTCGGTGGCTCTGAAACTTGCTAACGGCAATTTCTTTCTCAGTCCAAAGTCCAGAGACATCTAGAATCGTCACTTGGTGGCCTCATTTAGACCAGGGTAAAGCTGAGCAGAAACAGGGCTTCAGCTAGCACCCTGCCTTGAATCTAACTCAGCGGGCGACCCAGGAGGTCATTACCCAGCTGAAGAGCTAAGATGGCCAAAATATAAAACGGAAGGTAAAATTGCTACTAGATACCTAAGACCAGAAGTTATTGCAAAAGCATTCAAAATTAAAGGCCTTTCACAGCAAACTGTAAGTCTAATTGTTACAACCAACATCTGAGGAATTGGCGACATGGCTCAAGGTTGCAGAGCGCCTGCTCCTCAGTTAGAGGAGAGAAGTTTGAATGCTAATGGCTAACAACTGTTCCAGGGGGATCTGATGGCCCTTTCTGTAAACACTTACAAACATAAAAATTAAATAAGTAAAATACTCTCAATGAAGTAATGTTAGAAAAGCTTGGGGAATTTAGACAGTAAGTTTGGGTAAATGGTTTGGTAACTTTCAAGATGTTTCTGCCTAATCAATCATAACTGGAGTCTGTTCAAGAGTATTTTCTATCATTTCCAAAATAAAATGGATGCAAGAAAGAGGGGTGTATACGTCATAAAAGAATGAGGTTAAATATCAATTTTTACATTTTTCTTCACTCTGGGGCAAGGCCTTCTTCCTATTCCACTACAGACCTAGTCCGAATCTGTCTCAGCAAAGAACTACAAATCCCAGAATGCCCGGCGCCATATCTGTCCGCGAGAATTCCGCAGGCTGATATCAACTAATCCTTGCACGGAAGAGTCTGCGCTGCCAGCCAATCAGAAGACGAAGTTGAAGGGCGGGTAAGCAGGCGGTCCAGAGTTTAAAATTGAAAGACCGCGCGGCTGGGGAGCGGCAGACAGACGAGCGGTGGGTTAGTTCTTTCCGGACGGGTCGAGTCAGGTGGAGACGGCGGCGTTCCTGGCCGCACAGGTCTGGGAGGCTTTTGAAGGGTTGTGGGGCTTCGCCGGTCGCACGCGCGCGGTGAAGGAAGCGGGCCTAGGCCTGCCGCCGTGTGTCCACAGCGCCTCGAATGCGGGCCTCCGCTGTTAGCCGCGGGGTTCGGGTTCCGGCGCTGGTCCGTCCCGCCCCCACTCCCCTTTTCCGGCTTGCAGGGGTAGGAGCGGACCGAGCTGGCCGCTTGGGGTCCAATGCAGAAAACCAAGGTGGTCCCCCAACTTCTTAAGAGTCTCAGTCTCCTTGCCTGTGAGCAGATCCCGACTGGGTCCTGTTAGAACATGATTTGAAGCTTCTTCATGCAACCTATTTTGATCATATTCTTTCCTTTCCCCCACCACCCTTCATGCTATTTCCCTCAGAACAGATTAATGCACATTCACCTCAGTTAAGCCCAAATTGGCTTGAATTATCCTGCTGCTAACTACCAGAATGTTATGGGTTATTTTATTTTATGTTTTATTAGGTTCTGGCCTGGAACGCCCTATGTTGACCAGGCTATACTTGAACTCAGATACCTTCCTGCCTCTGCCCCCGCCTCCCTAGTGTTGGGACTAAAGGCATTTAGTTCATGCCCTGTTGTTTTATTTAGGACAGGTCTCTTGCATATCAGGCTGGTCACCTTTACTTCAGATTTTCCTGCCCCCAGCTTCCAAATGTTGGAATTAAAGTCTGCCTTTATGCTAGCTGAGTTGCTCAATTATTAACCATTCTGTATCAAAGTCAACCTTCGGACATAAACTTGAAAATGTGGCTTATTTGGTATCAATAACAATTAAAATACAGTATTGTGCTCTTTTGCAGCGTCCCTAAAACAAAATGGGTGAAGACGAACTGACATTCTTCGATAAAAGCATAAATGAATTTGGGGATAAATTCAGAACCAGACTCATCGATAATCGTAGTCAGGTGCAGGGACTTAGAGATGCCTTCAAGGACTCCATTAGAGTGCTTTCAGGTACTGCCCGCCCTTAACTCCTAACTTGTGGATTTTGCTGGTTTTATTTATTTTCTACTGTTATTTCTGCAAGATTAAAGCATCTTTTGTAATTTGTCTTTCAGAAAAGCTGTCTTTGAAATTAAAGGAAGAAGAAAGGATGGCTGAGATGATTCTGGAATATAAAAATCGTATGTGAGAAATTGTAGACTAGCTTTTAGATTGAATGTCTTTATCATGAAATCTTAAGACAGTGTAGTAAGTGTTCACACATTCACACACATGCATAGACATTCATCAGAATCCTGTTCCCAGGAGCTGGAGAGGACCCAGATTCAATTCCCAGCACCCACAGGGCAGCTCACAACTGTCTGTAACTCCTGTTCCAGGGGATCTGACACCCGCACACAGAGATACATGCAGTAAAAACACCAATGTACGTAAAATAAAAATAAATTACTTTTAAGAGATTCTGTTTTTGCCACCAGCTTAAAGCTGAATATCTTTGCACCGTCTAGAACTACAAATATTTTTTTTCATTATTATTTTTCAATACTATGTGAATAGCATCATTTTATATGTATTCTGTCTCTTTATTTAAGTAGTATATGTGTATTTGTATGCCTATGTGTAAAGGACAGCCTTTTTAAAAAAGTGTGTTTTCACATTGGAAATTTCAGCCAATGGAGTTCCTCAGGACTTTGGGGTCTGGTTAATATTCCAGCAATCATATTTTTACCACCATTCTTTCCCTGTCATTTCTATGGATCTCCATATATTTCAATACTGAGTCTGTGTCTTTTATTGAGTTCTCACACATAAGCTGTAAACCTGGAGCCAATGAGTTGAACTTACATAGAGACATTTGGTTTTAGGGGAGCCATGTTTTAAACACTGTTAAACTGGAATGCCCTTGCAGAACACTCAGTGCGCACGTGGTCATGTGCACACACACACACACACACACACACACACACACCATTATGGTTGAACAGAAATAACAATTTATCCAAGTTCAGTGAATATTTGATTGCTCTTGCCCTAGATTAAGGAAACAGTGCATAAGGTCTAATTTTATAATTTAGTGGAGATGAAGACAGGGAAACAATAGTTAAAATACATTGTACTATAACTTGTAATAATGGAATGCATGCCTTATGGAAACAGACTCTGGAGGCTTGATTCAAAGAGTTGCAGAATATTTAATAACTAACCCTAAGTTTTATACTCTAAGCTGCTTGCACATTTTGACTCAGGCCTCACAACGATAAGACGCCTAAGTTCTCTTACTGTTTTCTTTGTTTTTTGTTTTTTTGTTTTTTTTAATGAGAAGTTTTGCTTTGTTGGTTTGGTTGATTGAGGTAGGGCATCACTTTCTTTATAGCCCATGCTGGCCTGGGACTTATGGTCCCCCTCAGTCCTGTAGCCTCAGTTTCTTGAGTTCTAGGATGACAGGCACTACCACACTTACTCTTCATACCCTTGTTCTTGTTGTTTATAAAAGAGTAAGACTTCTGTGATATCTCAGTCTTGAATAAATTCATACAACTGAGGTTTAACAAGGAATATTTGTGTCAAATGTAAATTATTTTACCTGTATGTTGAATTTTGTAGCCTTTCTCTTTGATTTGTTTTATACTCAGATCTTCCACCTTTATGGTTAATTTTGTATCTATAAATGCTGCTTTTTAGATTTTATAAGATTTCATTTTGTGTTTTAAGTATTTAGTAAGTACAGAATTTATTTAGAATTCTAGCACTGCTTAAGGAGTAACCTACTCCTTGATTCTGTTTTTATATTTTTCTTGTCATACTACCTTCCTAAATACACTTAACAGTTGCTTCTGGGGTCCTTGCTTCTCTGAGTTGTGTACCATTTCTTCAGTAGGTCACTAAGGTCAAGTGTATCCACTCCAAGTACTATATTTTAGGGGAGTTCTTGTTGGTTTAACAGGGTTTATGCCTTCTCTGTTCTCACTGTGTGTTGTCCCATGGCTTTACTGTTTATACTCCTTAGACTGTCGGGTACTTACTCCCTGCTTCCCTGGGCCTGCAGTCGTGGCTAGATTCTGGGAAATACTGACACCTTAGTAGTATTTAGTATTCAGCTGTGTGTTTCAGGCAAGTTGTAGTTTTTCCGTAAAGAGCCTGCTTTCTTGATGATACTTTGTATCTGTCATTCTAAAACTACAGGCTACTCTGTATATCTAGTTTAAGAAATAGTAGCAGAGCTATCCCAGGGACACAACTTAGACTACAGGGAAGGCTGTGACAGGAACAACTCAGTAAGCTGCTTGGTGCAAGATAACATTTTTAACGTGCTAGGAGGTGTGATTTGATGGCATGGTAGTGTTTGGTTAGCTTATGTGAGGGCCTGAGCTTAATCCTGCTACCATAAAACACTCATTATGAAGACTGAGCACTAAATTCATATATATATATAATGTGTTTTCCCAGTATCTATCATATAATAAATTTTCCAATATTTTATCTATGCTATATTCTACCATATTTGCTTTCAGTGGATTTTTAAAGTATATGTTTAAAGATATTATTTTGTTTTGTATATTTATTTGCTGCGTATATCTATGTGTAAGCTATATTTAGTGCTCTTGTAGGTCAGAAGAGGGCATTGGAGCCTCTGGAAATAGAGTTACAAATGGTTGTTAGTCTCTATGTAGGTGCTGGGAACCCAGATCCTGTGTAAGGTGCTCTTAACCCCTAAACCATATTTCTAGGTCTGGATTTTTTTTTTAATTTCTTCAGGGATTTTGTGTAGTGTATGGTTTGGTCATATTCACTCCCACCCAGCTCTTCCTTCCCAGCCCACCCACTTACAACTGTCTTGTTAAAGCCTTCAAGACTGTGTGCTGCCCGAACATTCTTGGATCTATGGTCTCCCACTGGAGTGTGGTTACCTTACCAGGGGCTAGGTTAATATTTTATTTTGACTTAGGAGCTCATATAGCACGGGCTGTCTCAGGCTTTCTCTGTAGCAGAGGATAGCCTTATCTTCCTGCTTCTACCTGTTGAATGCTGATATCACAAGTGTACACCATCACACCCAATTTATGGGGCACTAGGAATCAAATCCAGGGCTTCCCACATGGTAGGCAAAAGCTCTGCCACCTGAGTTACATCTCCAGTTCCATGTTAGTATTTTATTAAGCTTTATGATAACACATTAGAAAGATAACCCTATTTTATTTTGAGTGTGTTCCTGCTCCTGACCATGGTAAATGTCAAAGGTCAAAGGACAATTTACAGGAATTGGTTCCTTTTCTACCCCGTGAGATTGAACTTAAGTCATCAGGCTTGGCAGCAAGCACCTGTACCTATGGAGTCATCTTGTTGGTCCTGTCATCATATTTTTAAATAAAATTAGCTTATATGGCTGTCATTGAGTGGGGACATGGTGATGCCTGTGTTTCAGTTTCAGAATTAAGCTAACTTTGTAAGATTTGACAATCTTATCACCGTTTTCTTCTGTCCTTAATACATTCCAGAAAAAACTTACAAAGCATTAGAATTAGCTTTCTTCACAGCACTGTGAAAAGCTGTCTTATAGAGTTGGACTGTATTCTGTGGTGGGCTTTACTAAGGTACTTGGAACTGCAGGAGTCATAATCTTCTAATTTTCTGTTTTATTAATTAATTTAGTTTTTCAATTTTAGAAACTTTATTTTAAAGACAATTAATGAAGCAGATTCTCTTTTAATATTTATGATTTTTGAGCCATTAGAATATGTTTATTAATCATAGACACCAAAGAATTGTGAATTTGAGGCCATCCTAGGTTTATATAAGTTCTGTCTTCAAAACAAAACATAAAAACAATTTTATTAATCTTTGGGAAGTTGGCAATTTTGTGCTTTTCTTAATTACATGTCATAGACTAGGGTATATGTATTTAATGCCATGTGTTTCTTACAGAGCTCTGTAAGCAGAATAAACTCATTCAAGAAAAGAAAGATAATGTGCTAAAGATGATTGCTGAAGTAAAAGGCAAAAAGCAAGAGTCAGAAGTGCTGACAGCAAATATCCAGGATCTTAAGGAAGAATATGCTAGGAAGAAGGAAAGTAAGTTTCTAGTTTCATTTAAAGTAGTCGACTGAATTTCAAAGGCATGGAGGTCTAGTTGTATGCATCTGGCTGGCTTTACTTGGTGGCTAAGGTAGATAACACTTTAGGGCATAGACAGACCAGCATCTCTCTAGGTATCACTTAAGTCACCCAAGTGACTATTGTTTTGCTTAAAAGGTTTTGTCCAATTTCAGTTACAGCCAGACCTCATGTCATTATTACTCTGGTTGTAACTAAAATTGGATAAAGCCTTTTAGTAGTCTCATGTAGCCTGGTCTGGTCTCAAGCTTATAACTAATGATGCCTTTGAACTGGTCCTCCTGCTCTACCGTCAAGTGCTGGGATTGTAGGCATGCATCTCCATGCCATGTCTGTGTTGAAGAAGTCTTTTAAGGACTTAAAAATTGTTTGTTGACCATAACATGTCTGCCAGGCAGTGAATGCACAGACTTAACTGGTAAAAGTACAGAGACTACGTGATTGCAGTGCTCACCACTAAAAGGGCCATGTATCACACGCACACTCCTGCCACGGCTCAGGGAGCATCCCAGAGGAATGATGGAAAGAGTGAGCATAAGAGTGCAGAGGAGTGCTGACAAAGTTTCTTTGGGACATGAGATGGCTAATGTGCTCGTGAACTCTCAGCAGCTGTGGTTACCTAAATAAGTTTGGGCTGTCAGCATGTGAAGAAGGGCCCATGAGACCTCACTCCTCAAAGGTTGAGGAATTTTAATCCAGCAACTTTGCTGCTCTGGCAAGGGATCACATCCAAGATCTATGTAATCTGGCTGGAATGCAGACATAGCACACACCTTAAACCCTCGGGTTTACAGAAATGCCTTTGGTACCTTTATTCCCAAACAGTGAAAGTAAAGTTAGTTTATAGACAGAAGCAGCCATGTGTGAAATTGATGTCTAATTGAGGGGCAGATGAAGTGACGAGTCAGAGGAGGATACTCCCAGTTCTCATGAGAACAGATGGAAAATTGAGGACAGCGCAGAGAATCAGAGAGGAGGCAGTTTTACAGGGAGAGGTGAATCAGTTCGGTCATTGCAGTTTGTGCAGTTGAGTTCAGTCAGTTGAGGCACTTGAGTTAGGAGGCAGTGTAGTGGAGTTGAGTTTGTGAGTTCACGAAGTTCATTGCAGGTCAGCAGAGGGAGTTGAAGTCAGAGAATAAGAAGGAATCAGAAGATTAGAACAGGCGAAGCAGAGCTGAGAGAAGCCAGTTTGAATCAATCAGCTTGGAGAGGTGTTTTGAGCTAGAACATCTGGGTTGAACCACCTAGTCTAAGTTCAGAAGTAGAAAGGGGAGTTTCTTCAGCAGTAAGCCTCCAAGATGACAATATATCTGATGAATAAAAGATACTGTTGACTTTGTTGGCAGCAGGGAGTGGATTTTACTATCTTCAGTGGTGTAGCTGCCGATAGTAAGTTGCCCATGCTCCAATAAACCTCTGCCCTTGCTCCTGCAGGAAACTCAGTGGGTTAAATTCAGAGAGTGTACACACAGAAGACGTAGAGGTGGGGGAGGGGAGAGCACCTGCTGGGAAGAAGCAGAGTTTCAGCAGGAGAAACATATGGGCTGAGACAGGGTAATAGAGGTAAAAAGGACGAAAGAGTGTGCGTGTGTGTGTGTGTGTGTGTGTGTGTGTGTGTGTGTGTGTGTAACAGACTTAAATTTCTGCTTTAGAAAAATCCTTTCTGTAAAAACTTTGTGTCTTATAAAAACTTTTGTATTCAAATGAATGCCTTATTTAGAAAGGAAACTTAAAAATAGCAGTTTGTTTGGTTAATGCTTTCTCTTACACAGTTTGTATCTACGACTAAATTGTGAACATATTCTCCTCATCTGCCATCTATTAGCTAGGGTTATTAGTTTTAAACCAGGATTTGTTAGCAGTTATAAGCCAGCATGAAATAAGGCTGATTTCTCATGGAAGAGCTTATGCCTACAGGAGGAAACTATGCTTCTCATGAAGCAATTAGTGTGTATTTGTCTAGCCAGCAAACAACAACAACAATAATAATGTAAAGGAAATCTATTTCTAGGCTAATTATACAGATTTCTGCCCTGATTATTTGCATCTCAAACTTTTTTTTCTTTCATCTTGAACAGAATCCCCTTTTATTATTTGTTAAAGTTAGAAGCTGAATAAATATAAACAGATTGATATGCCTGGCATAATATTTTAGTAGTTTTCAAGTTTCCTAAAATTAATTGAATAAGCCTTAAAGTGAGAATTATCCAAAATATTCAACCCTGTTTTTAAATCGTAGCCATTTCCACTGCTAACAAAGCTAATGAAGAGAGATTGAAGCGGCTGCAGAAATCAGCGGATTTGTATAGAGATCGCCTTGGACTAGAAATTAGAAAGATTCCGGGTAAGTTTATTGCTCTAACTGTTATGTATAAGATTAGAAAGAGGGTACCTAAAGAAGAGAAGAATCTAAGAGGTATTTTCAACTAAACTTATCACATTAGGTTTTTAGAAAATAGGCCAACATCCCATCTCTTTAATAATCTAAATACAAGTAATCTAGAATCTAATGAAAGTTTGACATGGTTGTCAAAAAACCAAAACAACAACAAAGCCATGCAATACCGATCTTGGTTTTCACTGGCTTTTGTATCACCCCCAGTTGCCTTCCAAATGGTGATTTGTGAACGCTGGTGTAATTACTCATTAATGTTGTATGAATTATTCCATCTTTTATCAACTGGATTGCTAAAACAATTGGATTGTGTCTTTTCTAGCTCTAAAAATACTGTATATAATTTCTCACTTGGGAGGATCCTTTCTCAGAGAGGGATTACTAGGTTAAAAAGCATATGAATGTTTTTAAGGCTATTATCTGGGTATATGTTAATTGGTTAGAATGGATAGTGTTTCGGGGCTTCCCGCAAACACGTTCAGGCTCGGTGAGTCATTGAGAATGAGTGTTTGTGCTGGTCTTCCTTAATTCATAGGGAATATACCTTAAGGCATTCAGTGGATGCCTAAACCATTAATAATGAATACCATGTACATTTTCCTTGTATGTGCATACTTACCATAGATAAGTTTTTATATTTTATTTATTGCATTTTAAAAATCATTTATTTTGTGTGTGTGTATTTGTATGAGTGCATGTGTGCCTTGCACTATTGTGGAGGTCAGAGAACAGCTTGAGAAAATCGGTTCTTCCTTCGTGTAGGTACTGAGGATTGAATTCAGGTCATCAGGCTTAGTAGCAATCACCCTTACCTGCTGACCCATCTCCCAGTGCCCCTCCCCATTAAGCTGTGTTTTGTTGGTGTTACTGTGTGTTTATTATGGTGGGAAGGGCACAGTGTATGTGTGGGACCAAGTAGCATCCTTTATCATAAACTGCCAAATGTAAAGTGTTCTCCTGATTGTGAGAGTTGCTTAAGTAGATGAGTTGATCCAGAAGAATGGGTAATCAGTAGAAAGTATCACCACTGTTAGATAGAAGGGTGGCAGGCTGGTGTCTACTGCAGAACTGATAGATTGCTTGGTGCCAGGGGAAGCACCAACACACACTGAATCAGAAACTTAAGGGTTCTTTGGAGAGTCAGTTGTGTCGGATGCTGTTCTACTGGGGCAAACACATGGGGTGTTTTCCTGAAGTAGACACAAGTGAAAGACTAAGGCAGACTCATGAAGGAAGATGTTCTGCTAAAGGAAATACGTGAAAGGACACGTGATCAAGTATTCTTTTCCAATAACACACATGTATTGGTTTACCTTACTTTGCGTAGTTGAGCTGCATTTGTCAGGACTCCGTGGACTGGGACTGATTGGATGCACTTGCTGAGGCAAGGCATGGTTTTTGGAGGGTATAAATAGGACTCCATAGTGACAGAGACAGTGCTTGACTTGCTGGTACAGCTAGCTGTGCAACACTTGTGGGTCTTGCGTCTTCACTGATCTTCGCTTCTCTGAGAGAGGCTCAGTGGAGAACTTCTCCTGGTTTTCCTATTGCTCCCTCCTGCTGACTTGTGCCAAGCCTGAGGCCTGGCTGCCTCTGCTGTTGCTAACCTGACTCTACCCAGCTGGTATATCCATGAAGTGTTTGTGAGTGGATTGAGCTGCTGCTGCCTGCTTACCTGTGAACTGAGCTGATGATTTTCAGACAACACATATTGGAGTTGCTCTAAAGAACCTTTCTAAACGGGTCCACTTCCCCCTATATCCTTTCTTTCATATTTCCTCTGGTGGGTGGTGGGCTAAAAAGGAGGTTAAAGCATTTAAGAATCATCATTAAAAATAAAAAAATTTAAAAAGTTACAGCATGTAGGGTACTCTTGCCAACTGATGAGTGAGAGGAGTGCTTTCAGCTCTTCTGGATACTCAGAGGAATGGGAAACCCCCAAGGAAACCCTTGACTTATTGTAGTAAACTGAGTATATTACCAAATCCTTGCTTGGTGTGCACACCCTTCCCAGTATGATTAACAGTCTGAAATCTGGTATAGTGACCTGTACTTCACTTTTTATTTGGATGCCAGATAAGTCTTTCCTAAGTGAAGATTTCCTTTTATAATGGTAAGAATTTAGGTATGATTGCTTAATTTTTTTATGCTATAGAAGATACTAAAATGTGTATGAATTTATGCTTTGTGGCAGACAATTTGAATTTCTACCAGGCATTTATTTCTTTGGGAGCATTTCAAGGTTTTTTTTTTTTTTTTGAAACTAGATTAACTAGAAGAATATAAAATAAATTCACTTAACAATATGGGTTTATTGTAGTAAAATACGTATAATGTAAAACTAAGCTGTTTTAACTGTTTTAAAATGTATAATTCATGATGTTAATTATATCTACATTGTTGTGTGACCATCACCAACCACTGTAGATTTCTATATTTTATCACTACAAATAGCTGTCTTGTAGTAACTCTCCATTTTTATGCTTTTGGGTTCTTTTCCTTAGTTCCCAGTAACCTTGAATTGCTTTTTTTGTTTCTGTGAATGTATCTTAACCTGTTCTAGCTATTTTATATTGTGGAATCATACAGGATTTGTTCCTTTGCATCTTCACATATTTTCATGGTTTGTCTATACTGTAGTTATGTATGAGAGGTTCATTCCTTTTTATGTCTGGTTAATGTTTGTATATATGTATAGTGTATATGTGTACAATGTTGTATTCAACTGTTCATCCATGGAGGGCCGAGTGTGGGACACTATATTGTTTTCACTGCATACAGTGACCTGATTAAATCTCTGCTTTTGTGTTTTCCAATTGGAGTTTTTTTTTTTAAGCCTTTCAAGCCTTAGTGGGTATTTAATTTATAAATACTTTCTTTTATTTTGTGAGTTGTCCTCATTTTCTTGGTAGTATTGTTTGAAGGAAAAAAATGTCAGTGATGTCCAACTGTTCTTCTTTTATCGTCTGCTTTTAATGTCATTTTTACATTAACTTGTAAGTTCTGTGTTTGAAGATACTGGTTAAAGTACAGAGCACATACTTATCAAAGATAGGGCGGTTGTGTGTGTGTGTGTGCCTGTGAAAGTATCTCCACTGAGAGCCTTGGCTTCTAAGTGTTCTCATATTAAATGGTTTATAATCTCTTTCTTCAGGTGATAAGTTGCAGTTTATATTTACTAGTATTGACCCTAAGAATCCTGAGAGCCCATATATGTTTTCCCTGAGCATAAATGAAACTAAGGAATATGAAGGTAAGTATGCTGTCTCTTGTGTTATTTGACTCACTGTTATTTGACTCATAAGGAAAATTTGTGTTTGCACAAGCTCTTTGATTTTCAGTGTGGCTTCTTGAGGTAATAACCTCTAAAGGATGTGGATATAGTTTTGCTGCATAAATGTATTTGAGGCCCTAATAAGTAACATCTTTCCCAGATGACACGGCATCCTGGGGCCTAAAAACTCTTGAGACCAAAGTTCTTTGTATTTCATGTACAAATTTGATTACCCTTGCAGAACTGTGAGTAGTTCATTGTTACTTTATGTAAAATAGTCAAAATGTGGTAATTTACTTATCCCCATTTTTTTTTAGGATTTCATCCTAAAAAGTACCACACATGCACAATGCAGGTTAGTTACTGACTCTGCAGCAGGTCAGAGAGCCTTTAATTTATAGGGAATGTATGTGATTGCTAGCAATGTGAACACTATGAAAATACAAGTATGTTTGTACTTTTTAAATTCTTCTAATCCTTTATATAAATGAACTTTAATTTGCTGAAGTTCATAAAAATGATTCTCAAGTCATTACACCTGTGATACTATTTTAAAGCATTTATAACTGGTAGTTAGATGCTCAGGATGCTGGTTGGCCCTCTAAGGCCCTGGTAATTCACTGTCTTCCTATAGGATTCAGATTTTGAGAATCTCCATCTATAAAATATTTGAAAATTTTTTCTTTAATAATTGTATTTCAGTCAAATGAGTACTAGGTGTTAAAAAACAAAGCCCTAAAACGTCTAGTTTTTTGAGTTTTCTCTAAATTATAATTATTGGTACATTGTTTGTGATGGTTAATGTTAATTATCACTCTGACAAAATCGATAGTCACCCACATGCTGTGAAGAATTATCTTGACTGTGTTAATCGCGGTAGGAAGACCTTAAATTAACAGTGTATGATGATGTTTCCTGGCTGGTAACCTGCACTGTGTAAGTGGAGAGGGAGCTGAGCAGGAGCATGCATGCATTGCTCTCTGTTTCCTGATCATGGATGAAGAGTGGCCAGCTACTTATGTTCCTGCTGCCTTGATTTCCCCACCGTGGTGGATTGACCTTTGAACTGAAAGCCAGAATAAGGCTTTTCTCTTAAGTTGCTTTTGTCAGAGTAATAGGAAAGAAAACTTAAAGACACTCATAGTGTTTGTTAGTTTATTAAAATAAAACTCGCAGAATAAAATTTGATCCAAGTACTCTGCTGTTTCTTTGTTGTGGTCCTGTCCAAGCAATCTCTAAAGACAGAAAGCTAATATAGTCAAGTTCTTCCTGAACAATGGAGACGATTAACGGTAGAAAGCTGGATCATTCTTTTGGCAGCTCACTGAAGATTTGTTCCGTTGTACCAGCATGTGCAATGACACAAGGACTGTAACTTGTGACCTTTGTCTCATTAGTTAGTGGACTCTGTGTACCACTCTTGGAACAGTGACCACATCTTCCACTGACTTCCATTGCCCTTGTAAAATCTTGGATAGTCCAACCCCAAATCATAAGTTACTAAGAATTTGCATTACGGCCAACTATGGTGGTTCTTACCTTTGATCCCAGAACTTAAGAGGCAGAAGCAGATGGGTCCCTATGAGTTCAAAGCTAGACTGGTCTGTTCCAGGCCAGCCAGACCTACATAGTGAGACCATGTCTTAAAAAGAATTGGCATTGAAAGTTAAGCCTTTTTTCATATTGTGGCAAGAAACAAGATGTCAACCCAAAGTTTTGCACAGAAAAATGATGCTTAATAGTTAAATCACATGTACATAAGAAAGATGATAGAATTAGCACTCAAGTGTCACTCGGCTCTCAGTCTTTTGGATACCATGTTTAGATTTAATTCAGGATTGTAGTACTTAAAATTTGAATATTTGGGAATTAAGCAAAGGAAAGGACTAAAAGATAACTGAAATTTCATGTATTAGTTTATGCTCAGAGCATTTCAGTAAAGTATAATTGCTATTCAGACCATCTGAGAGCCTAAGTGGAAACACACACACACACCCTCCCCCCTCCCCCTTTTAAATTACCTTCTTTGTTTTTCCTCTAGTGTTTGACTGTTCCCCTCATCTTGAGTGCCTAGAAGAATTTCAGGAGAAAGTAAGGAAGACCAACAATTTTTCAGCCTTTCTTGCCAATGTTCGGAAGGCTTTTATAGCTAAGGTTCATAATTGATATAGGTTTGTTCTTTGTTACTGTATATATCCTAAAGGAATTCTCATCTCTTGCCTTTGTCATTTTTCTCTATTTCTGTGTGGTATGAAAGAAACTAGAATACATCATCTCAAACCATGCCTCTTTGATATAACATTTGTGAGCTGAAAACAGTTAAGAAGCAGCATGGTTAGAAAAACTTTGCCCTTCCCTAGTCTTCCTAAACATGGGACCTAGATTATAGAGGTATCTAGCTCTATACCCACAAAAAAGGATAGAAGTTAGTTGCTTACCACTTCAGACATGGCACCAGAGGAATTAACAAACCTTGCTTTATTAATTTATTCCTGTAAATATATTCTTCATAATTCCCAATCTGTGGAAGTCAAAAGGTAAATCTGCTGTCTGTCTTGTCATGTTGTAAAATCCTTCTATTCTCTATTGAAGATATGTAAACCTGACTAAGCCACTGTTTGGAGTTCTCTTCTGTTGGGGTTCTCTTGTACAGTGTGCAATGCATGTGTTAATAAACTTGCTTGGTTTCTCCCAGTCTTTGCAACTGTCTCTTCAGTATGACTTTATGAGGATTGAAGAGAAATAGTTCACTTTCACAGGGAAGTGCTGAGTCCTGCAAGGCAGCTGTGGAAGGATGTGACACAGTTCCTGCCCTTGGGGCAGGACTAGCAGGGTGTGGGCCTCCAGGAGTGTCAAAGGTTGCTAGGCTTGAGGCTTGTTTGTATAATAATGTACATAATTTATATTCCTCCTGAAAATATTCTCCCTGCCTAGGTTATTGGGGAATGTCCTCTCTGCCAATATTAATGACTCCATGATAATCAGAGACAAGACAGCAGGAATCCAGGAGGTGAGGTGTGTCTAATGTCCTTAGCAAAATGATAAATGCTGTGACTTTCAGGACAGCCCTTAAGGCTGTGAGAAAGAACTATAAAAACATGAGTTCAAAAATATATAAATAGGATTTCTCAACTATGTAAAATATAAGGATGTAATCTTATAATTTGTGAGGCAGAGTCAGAAGTAGGCAGATCTCTACAAGTTCAAGGACAACATAATCTGCATAGTGAGTTCCAGATTAGCCAAGGTTATATGGTGAAATCCTGTCTCAACACACACACACACACACACACACACACACACACACACACACACACACGGGGAATGTTCGGTTCTTCTTCCTACTTAAACTAGGTTCTTACTGTTAATAAAGTTCCTTTTATTAAAGTTCCTTTCAGTAGGAAGCTGCTTAGGGTTTTCCTTCCACAATAACCCAATTTTCCAATTGGCAAAAGAAGTTTCCATACAGGAAAGGAGGCACAAAATTTCACACACTGCCACCTACTTGCCCTTCCTATTTGCTTTTCCTCAGATCCTAAGCCATCTCTGGCTTGCATTTGACCTCACTAGAGCTATTGATGGTAGGTAGGGGCTGATGAGAAGTCACTGCCTCAAAAGGTCACGGGCCCTGGTTGAAACTTCATCCTGCCAGAATGCTGCTGAGGCTCTAGACTAGACTTCTTGTATCACACCCCTTCTCTAATCCAGTGGACTTTGAGGCCTGGCTCCTGATCCTTTATTCTGCTTTCCAACTTGTGTCTATTCCATTGAATCTTGTTTGCCTATCACCATTAACTTTGGCTTTGGTCTGTGTTCTTTCTCATTTTCCAGGCTTTGCTTAACTCAACCCTTAAAGAGGTGTGTCTAGATGCCACCCAAAGCTAAAGATAAAAAGGCACCTAAATTTTACTTCTTGTATGCTTATAGATTATATGACTTCAGGCAATTTGGATAATTGTCTCCTCTTTGTGACGGGAAGACCATCTCTAGGGTTTTTAGAAAGTCTAGGAACCCATAAACTTTTTGTCTCATTCAGTCCAACTGTCTTTTATTTAACTGTTTGAAGTTAATAACCCCATGTACAGATCAGTGTGAAATGCAGGTAGATCTCTACCACCCACTGCATAAGAAAAATTTGCGGAGAGGATAACTTCCTCTTTTTTTTTCTTTTGCACCACATTGTTTACAGAATGTGCAAGGCCACCCATGTGTCCACTCTTGTTTTATGCCTGTGTAGCTGTGTTTCCAGCCTTTGGAGGTAGCTCCTCCACATAGGCAGCAGGAAAATGGCCCTTCTTCCCATTTAAAGAACCGAACCACCATCCTTCTTCTTTCTTCTCATGTATGGTCACGATGTCTCCTGTGAGGATGCACACTGAGTTAGACAGATGGTTCTCTGTAGCTTGAACACATGCCAAGTAAGAGTTGATAAGAATGTTTTAAGAACAGTCTGTATCTGGGGAACGCCTTGGTAACATCACGTTCTGCGTTTGATTCAGGTGAAGCAGAGTTTATTGAGCACTTCATATGCAACAGCCACAATACAGAAAATGCTAAAGAATGAAATAATGAACTACCACGCTCTGCTAAGAGTATGCATAAAAACAGAATCATGGTAGCCTTGCACAGCTGGCTCACTCTACAGTGGATAGGTTGTCGGCAAACTCTTGCTGTCCATATCTTAAGGGTTGTGCATATAGGTGGCCATGATAGTTGAGAATAGTTCATTAGAAGTGTGTCTTTACCAAGAGTTTTTCTTAAAAACTTGGTAACTCCCTGTGTCACATCTGCCTGCATTCAGTCTGAACTTTTGGCAGTTTCACACAGAAATCTAGCCTCCGTTCATTCATTTAGGTAACTTGAATAGAATATCAATTTGGAGATAATTTTAAGGATATCATGAAAACTGAATTCCTAATTCCTAATTCAGTTTTTACTAATTTTCTATTGCCTTTTAGAAAAAAAAAAAATCACCATTCCCCTTTGCCTGTGGGAGAGCTAGTCCCAGATCCGAGAGAGAGAGAGAGAGAGAGAGAGAGAGAGAGAGAGAGAGAGAGAGAAGTGTCCCTAACCACCAGCTGTAGCACTTGGGAGAGCAGGATCTGGACCTCACCACAGTAGCACAGTAGAGCTAGCCCTGGCGGTAGGGACAGAGTGAGTCAGGCCCAAGTTTGTGAGCATGTGAGAGCTGGCCGCACAACTTGTCTGCTATGTGGTGGTGTGAGTGTGGGAGAGATGACCCACCCTATCCCCACCTCTCACTGGCTGGAACACTCAGGAGAGTGGGCCCTGCACCTCACCTGGGCAGGTTTACTGTTGGTAAGCAGGCTTTGAGCATAGGAGAGCAGGAGAGAGCTGGCTCTGTCCCTTGCTCGCTGCAGCACTGGACGAGCTAGCCTAACCAGGGCAGTGCTGGAGAGTGGTGTGGGTTTAGGAGAGCTGGTGGTCTGACCAGCTCAGCTACCACCCAGACCCAGATCCTGGGCTTTGAGTTGGTCTACCCCAGCATCTACTCCATCTATGAACTGCTAGAGCATATGACGGGGCTGCTCCTGCATATCCAAAGCTGCAGGATCTCCATGACAGGACAACAACAGGATGCCAAAGAGGAGTCCTTGTGAAGATCCAGGATTGATTGTGTAGCAGAAGCCAGAGCCTTGAACCAGATCAATGACTCATTGCAATGAACATTTGCAAGTAAAGAAGTGTGGACAAAAGGGTACACTGTGAGACACATTACAGCTTCCACAATTAGATCTTTTTTCTTTTGGTGGGGAGGTTGCAAGGGTGGAGGGAGGGTACAAAGGGACAGGGAGAGGAGTGGGATTGGGTGCATGATGTGAAATTCACAAAGGAGAGAAGGAGAAGGAAAGGGAGGGAGGGAGGGAGGGAGGGAGGGAGGGAGGGAGGGAGGGAGGAGGAGAAAGAGAGAGAGGGAGAGGGAGAGAATGAGAGAATGAATATTCTTTTTCTCTGGCGATGTTACTGTTTGTAACAGTGTCCCCTTAAAGTGAAGGCTTAGACCACAGAGGGTGGTGCCGTTAAGAGATGATTGGATAACAAGGGTGCTGACTTCACTAATGTGTTCCTGTCGAATGGCCTATTCAAAGATCCATTCTCAGGAAGTCATTGAAAGGTTTGCTCTTGAAGGGCATCATTTGTCCCTAACCCCTCGTACCCCAGGCTTTCTGGCTACCAAGGATTGGACAGCTTTTCTCCATTGTTACAACCTTAAGCTATAAAATGTTCTGCCTCTCCACAGACTTGAAAGACAGCCGATCAAACTGAAACCTTGGAAGCCAGGAACCAAAATAACCACTTCTTCTCATAAGCTGTTTTTCTCAGGTGGTTTGTCTCACAGCATTAAAAAGCTGATTAACAAGCTGCCTCCCATACAGCAAAGTAGAAACAGCCACTTCAAGATCCAGCATCTGCTTGTCTTCATCACTATTGTTCTGCTTTTGCTCACTCTTTCTGCTCAGCTTTCAGCTTTGTTCTGAAGGCACAGGTAATAGTTGCTGTCGTTCTCTGTTCTCAGCTATGGTGTTCTCTGTTCTCAGCTATAGTTTCCTGTTTCTTCTCATGTGAGCTCATTCTGACTCTCTCTCTCTCTCTCTCTCTCTCTCTCTCTCTCTCTCTCTCTCTCTCAAACTTAATCTCGACAGCAGGTTGTTTGATGAAATTTAAACAAATTCAGACAAATGATTTGAAATTCTATTGTCAGCTTCTCCTAGCCTCTGATGTTGTGTTTCACTGAACAGAACTACTTAGGATATAAAGCATACGTGGGCTTTACTAGACAACTGATGCGAGCAAGATAATTGCTTAGTGTAAACTTTGAAAGTTAAACTCAGGACTCCTGAGTTCTTGAGTAGCCTCTGAGAAATACATTTTTCACTCATAGAAAAGGAAAAGTTAATAGCCTGGAGAAATTGAACTAGCCTGCAGTAATTAGACAGTCTCCTCTAAACAAGGGCAAGCATGCTGGATTCCTGGTGCCTCATTCTTCTCAGCTATAAAGCAAGACTAAACAGTATCTGCCTTAGAGTGCTCTGTAGATAGTAATTGAACCATATGCTTGCCACACTGTCTGGCACACAGAAACAAAGAACTGGACCAGGAGTGGGATCGCCCACCTTCAATCCAGTACTTTGGAGGCAGAGGCAGGTGGATGTCTGAGTTAAACGCCTGCCTGGTCTACAAAGAGTTCCAGCACAGCTAGGGCTACACAGAGAAACCCTGTCTTAAGAAAGAAAAAACAGTGTTCTGAATGCCATACTCTGGTCACGGGTAATAAGCTTTCTCTTATGGCACAGTTCTTTTCCATGGACACATTTATAGGTCTCTGAGACTTAGCTTGGACATGCAAACATAGATACATGAAGAAAATGGAGGCTGGATACTTGTACTTATTTAAGAATATTAGTTTATATAACCCACCAGAAAATAGTTCCCTGGGAAATATGTCCGGCACAGAGGGATCTGATCCTTTAGAGTGAGTGACTCTCAGTTCTTTTCTGAGATATCAAGGACAAACATTAATCTGGGCATCAATGGACTCAGATTCTCGAACTTTCTGTCATACTAAGGAAGACACCACTTCACATTTCTGCAACTCTACCATCTGAAAAACAAAAAGAACTATATCTCCAACGAATTAGTGGCATTCTGCCTCAGTGTAGCACTGTGGTTGA